AGGCCGAGCTTCCCTGCCTGTCAGCCACAGCCTGATCAAATTGCGCTGGCTAGGTGTTCCCGCCCACCGCTGCGCTCCAGGGAGTTACGGACTAGGCAGCCTACGTGGGAGTCAGTCACCCCTCCGGGCCACCGTCAAGCTCTGGGATCTGGGTTAGGCCAGCCTACCAAGTCCACCCGCAGCGTCACGCAGGCCAGGCACTTTTCACCAATCCCATCCGAGAGGGGAATGTGTGGCTGGAGTCGTCACCGCGCCCTGCTCTTACAGGACTGCCTTAGCCCAGAAAGTCCTCCGCTGGAGTCAAACTGTGGTAGAGTGTCAGTTTCTCTCACTCACTTCGCCACAAGTCAGTGTACGCCTCCTTGTCCGTCCTGTTTTCGACTCCGTTCACAGACTCCCGTTCCCAGAGCTTCTGCACGTCTCTCCTTGCCGAGCCGCTGTGGAGGCAGCCAGCCGCCGAGCGGCGGGAAACCCAAATTGCGGTTTCCAATGGCACGGGGTCCAGCCTCCACACCGAGTCTTTTCTGTTCCTATTTTAGCACCAGGACTGCATTCCAAGTTGGTTTCTCTCAGCCCAGTTCGTTCCTGAGTCAGCAGAGCATATCTCTACCGGCTCATTGTCTCCTTAGTCCGCATCATTCCTGACTTCTGAGCTGAGCCTTTCAGAGAGCCTCCAGTAGTTGCTGTTATCTGTCTGCCATGTTCTCCCGGAAGTCCAAGTCTGCTGTAATTCTGATGAGTGTTCCCTTGTAAGTGATCTGTTTCTTGTCTTTGATGGCTTTTAATATTCTGTTCTTATATTGGATTTCTGGAATTTTGATTATTATATGCCTGGGTATAGCTCTGTTTGGGTTGTAGGTGGCTGGGGTCCTGAATGCCTTATACATCTGAATATCTTTATCTTTTACTAAATTAGGGAAATTCTCCTGGATTATTTCTGTGAATAGCTTTTATAGTTCATTTGTTTGAGTCCCTACTTCTTCTTTTATGTTCTTAATTCTTAAGTTATAGATCCTCTTATCATCTTCTAGTCTTTGTGTTATTGCTGTTTGTTTTCTTGTTATTTTTAAGAAGTTTTTCATTTCATGCTCCCACATTACAAATTTGTCCTCCAGTTCTGATAATCTATCCTTAGTTTCTTTCAAGCTGTTATGCCAGCTTTCAATAGAGTTTTTAGTTTCCTGGTAATCTCTGTGAACCTGCTTCACGTATTCTATGTTTTCTCTATTTTCTCCATCAAACAATTCTCCCCTTTTTTTTCTGTTCTTCCATTCCACCATCTGTTTTTTCTTGGGTGGTGCTTAGCATTTCTCTAACTCTTCTTCTTATTTCTTGCTTTATTTCATTAAATACTTCATTTTTGAACTCGTCTATGAGGCTCTGGAGATACCGCTCTATGTCTATAGGTGCCGTGTTTGATTGTATGTTTTCTGTCTTCATTCTCTTTTGCATTTACCTTTCCTGCATCAGTGTTTTCAGGATTGGGGACTGAGGACCCTTTCTTGTTGCTCCCTTTTCCCATACTTTTTGTTCCTTCCATACAAGCGTACGTAGGAGGCCCAGTTTTTTTTTTTTTTTTTTCTCTTTGTCTATTACAGTTTGTTTGAATCCGCCGGCTAACTGTTCCCACCCACTGCAGTGTACTAGGGAGACACAGACCTGGGCAGCCTCTGCCGGGCCCGCCCCTCCAGGTCAGCCTACTGAATGCTTCACTGCTAGGGTGCACCGCCAGGCGCAGGGACCTGATTTGGGGTAGCCTACTGGATCTTAGTCCGTGGCATCACCAGGCCAAGCGCTCCCCACCAATCCCACCTGAGAGGGGAATATGCGACTAAAGTCACTGCAGGGCCCTGTTCCGGCTAGTCTGCTCGTTCCCAGAATGTCCTCTGTTGGAGCCTACTAGTCTATGAAAGGGTCCCCATTTCTCTCACTCACCGCAGGTTGATGCAGGGCTCCCTGCCAGTCCCACTCTCAACGCCATTTGGTTTGCTGATTCCAGCTCTCAGAGCTTTCCCACGACTCTCTCCCTGCCATGCGGATTGGGATGCAGTTATCGGCAGCAGGAAATTTAAATTGCGGCTTCCAGTGGCACTTTACTTGACTTTCTTGTTGCTGTCAGGACAAAATACCTAACAATGAAAGATAAAAGGTTTATTTTAGCTCACAGATTATCAAGCCTGTGGTCTGGTTGCAAGGCAGTGCAGCGTGGCAGAGGAGAGACAGTTCATGGTGTGGCAGGCAAGGAAGCAGCAGGTCTTCTTTCTTTCCTTTTGAATATTTTATTATTTATTTAGGTTTTAGATTTTTGAAACAGTCTCACTAATGGAATTCAATCTGGTCTTAAACTCACTGTGTAGTCCAGACTGGCTTCAAACTTGCAGCAATTCTCCTGCCTCAGCCTTCCAAGTGCTGAGATTACAGATGTGCATTACCAAGCCTGACCCATTTTTTTCCTTTTTTAATTCCACCCAGGCTACATCCTATTGACTGATGCCCCCCCACACTCAGTACTGTGCTAAACCAATCACTGGGCTGATCCAGTATCACACACTTGATATCCAGCCACCTCCCAAAAGCCCCCCAAGCTTTGAAGGACCTCTAGATATAAACCATAACAGGCAGTCATTATGCTTAAAGTTGTCATGCTCTTGAAAGGAAAAACTCAATTTATTGAAGATATATTGACAAGAGACTTCCTGAATCTGAGGCAGAAGTAAGAGATTTATATGGTAGGCCATGTCTAACCAGAATATACCTGATCTTTCTCAGAAACCATTGTTATGTCAAATGTCAGTTAAGAAACAATAAATATCTTTGCTGTGCATACCACACTCAGGGCTATCTTAATTCCAGGGTCCACCAGCAGACAAAAATGCTGTGTTATGGCCAGGATGGCTATGGCTGTCACAAGCTAGATCCCTACAAACTGCAAGGTGGAAAACATACGTAAATGTTTAAGTGCTAGGTGTAGCTAATAGGTGTTTGAAGGAAAAAGGTTACCATTTATGAGGGGAGGTGTTTACAGGTGGCTCCACTGAGCAGGAGCTGGCTGGGCAATCTGCCACAGGGGTTTGGCCTCCCAAACTCATGGCTACCAGCTCCTGCCAATGAAGAACAGAACAACTTTGTGTTCTTGGATAAACTCACTTGGTCCTCATGTAGAATTCTTTTTCTATATCTCTGGACTTTTCTAATATCCTGATATTTTAAGAATGTCCGGGTCTTTGTGAGAGAGATTTATCTTATATTTCTGGAATATTAAGGTTTTGGTTAGGGTTGTGCTGACTTCGTTGGAAAGCATAACAGGTAGAGTGTAGACGTCCTCTACTTGGTCAGTTTGGTAATGTCTTTTTCAGAGAGTTTGTCCAATTTCATGAAATTGCTAAACTTGGCAGCATAAAGTTGCTCATCATGACCTGCCATCCACAGGATTAGTAACGAGACTTCCTCTTTTCGTCTCTGATGTGGGAATAAGGTGTAGACTTTTCCTGAAGCTTCTGTCTTTTTTTGTGTAATTTGAGACTGGCCTCACCTGTACCCTGGTGGTTTGGCTTCACTGGAGAGAGACAGCCTGGGGCAGAAACTCCATCCCTGCAGCTGGTTAGGGGAGCAACTGATGCACCCCAGAAATTCAGTAAAAATTAGTGTGTTTCATGGGGCTGGGGGAGGTTGCTCTGTGGCCTCTGGTGGGAAAGTGCCTGAGAACATTTTTCACATACAGTGTTTGGAAACAGCCAACTTGCCTGCCTGGAACCCCAGTGCCACTGTTGGGGTTTTAGTACCAGCTTCTCTAATGGTACATCTGCAGCCCAGCTGTTAGCTTTCAGCCAGGATTGAGGTGTCAGCCTCACCTAGTGACAGGTGACACCTGCTTCTTGGTATGCCAGAGTTTTTATATATCCTGTGTACCTCCCTGGCTCTGTGCTTACCATAGCCATGTGGGAGAGGGTACTGCTGGTTTTTCTTGAACTCACTGGAATTGCAGGTTGGGGTCAGCCTCTGGTGATTAAATGGGGTTCCTAGGCCTGCTGCTCATGCTCATATACTTTGTTTCCCCAGACTAGCTGCTTCTGGCACCTGCTTTTCCCCAGGGTGGACAGCTATTGCTGTTCCCATGATATGTCCCAGGTGAGCCTGCAGCCTGCCTCTGCCCCACAGGACACCCAGGGCCCTGTGTAGGCAGGGAGGCTTCCTGCCTGGGTCTGCCTTTTTGCTTGTTCTCTTTTCATGGGGAAAAGGAAAATAATCTAATTTACATAGATTATGAGCAGAATAGATATCATAGTAAACTTGGAAAGTGTGTTCGAGTCTGTTTTTTTGGTACGGGAAATCAGTCTCAGGATCTCACACTTGGCGGCAGGCGCTGACGTTGCTGAGCTGTATCCCTGGCATGTTTCAGTCTCTTAGGTGCTGTCTTAGGTCTACTACAGCTACGAAAACAAAAACCGGTCTGAGCAGCTTAAACAGAAGACCTCTACTTCTCTGTTCTGAGGCTCCAAGTCCAAGATTAAGGTGTTAGCATATTCAGTTTCTGGTGAGGGCTGTTTCCTGGCTTGTGTCTTTAAGGGAGGGAGAAAGCCTGGGAGGCCTCTGGCTTTCTTTTTTTTTTTTGTCTTTTTCGTTTTTACCGGTACCAGGGATCGAACTCACAACTGCCTGCTTGCAAGGCAGGCGCTTATGCCGCTGAGCTAAATCCCCAGCCCCAGCCTCTAGCTTTCTAATGGAGATCCTACTACTCTCTGTCTGGGGCCCCCCCACTGTAGGAACTCATTTAACCTTGCTTCCTTCCTTAGAGGCCCCATTTCCAGTACAGCCACACTGGGAACTAGGGCTCTAGCATATGAATTTGGGGGACACAGACATCTTGTCCATGGCTGGTGTTTTTGCTTTGCATAGCTGTGGGCTTCTTGGGATTTTCTTCCCTAGAAATCACCTGCCCTCGCCTTTCCCTCCCTGGATGCCTGAGTTTCAACACCTCTATCTTGCTTGCCCTCTCTCAGGAGCAGCTAATCCTGGAGCCACCATGCATGTTTCAATTGCCAGTGACCTTCGAGGATGTGGCCGTGTACTTCTCAAGGGAAGAGTGGGCGTATCTCAACCCCAGGCAGAAGGCCCTCTACCGGAATGTGATGCTGGACAATTTCAGCAGCCTCGTAGCACTGGGTGAGGTTGCATGTGGGGCCCAGAAGCTGGGGATCCTTCACGCACCCAATCTGGTCCACATGAAGAAGGGATGCTGCTATCTAGACTTTCTCCTTCCTGTCCTGTTTGTCTCCCTGTGGCTTCTCCAGGAATCTCTAAGAGTAGCCTGGCTGTTTGGTTCACATTATGATGAACCCAGAGCTAGTATGAGCCACACCCTGTACTTTGTCTTCTGTATAAATAAAACACCTTTTCTCTCTTTTGAGAAGGATTTTGCGGCCCCAGACCAGACCTTGTCTCTCACCTGGAGCAGTGGGATGAGCTGTGGCTTGAGGACTCTGAGAGGGCTGAGCTTCGGGAACCACAGAGTGGCCCCTGCCCAGGTGAGCACCATGGGGTCTGGCCTGGGTTTGGCTGGCTCATCCCTCCATCCCTGCAACCTCCAGTGGGTACCTGGCACATAGCACCAACTAAGGGTCCTTTGCCCTCCTCTCAGGAGAGGGACCTGAAACTGTATCCATACGAGGTATTTTATAAGCTCACAGACCAGGTATGGTGGTGCAAGTCTGTAATCTCAGCACTTAGGAGGCTGAGGTGGGAGGATCACCACAAGTTTGAGCCAGCCTGGACTACATAGCAAGACCCTGTCTCAAAAATTAAAAAAAAAAGATGTGGGCTGGTGATTTAGCTCAGTAGCATAGGTGCTTGCCTGGCAAGTATAAGGTCATGAGTTTGATCCCAGTACCAAAAAAAAAATTTAAAAAAAGAAAAGAAAATTACAGGTGGCAGCAGCCCCTTTCTTGCCTGCAACCCTACTAGGACAGACATGTGTGCAGGCCTAAGAGTTCAGGTGCCTTAGGGAGGCAGGAAGAAGTGTCGCATGAAGATTCTATGGAATGTTTCTGAGGCCCGGCTGTGACAGCCACTTGGGTCTGAGGCCTAATGCGCCTGCTCTAGGCAAGGGTCTCCAAGCATGTGGCTGCGGGGAGGTTCTTTATTCTGTGTGCTCAGTAGTGTTCCCTCCCTCCATTAAATCCCTCTCAATAATGGCCATCTAAGTTTTTTGGCTTTTTCTTTTGTTCTGCAGTGTAGGGACAGCATGCATGGCTGCATGTGCTCGATCAGTGCTCTACTGTGAAGCCACTCTGGCCCTAGGTTTTATTTTTTCCCTCAGATCCCCTCACAAATGAGATCAAGCAGCTGTATGCCTGAGACAGATTGGGGGGTCACTGGATTATGTGTAGCCACAAGCTGGGGAGGGTGCCAGGTCCTGAATTAGGGCTGCTTATGGTTCGAGGGTGAGTGGTGTATACTGTGGAGCTCTCCATCCAGCAAGGGTAGGCCTCTGGTGGATGCATGCAAGTTTAAAGGATATTTTCTGGGCTCAGTTGTTATACTAGGTAGTTACATGTGAATATATGCGATTGGGTTACTTAAACAAATTCATAGTACTTGTTCACCACATTTGTGTAGCTGCTGCCTAGGTGGGTGAGGATTTGAATTGAGTTTGTTTTAAGCATTCTGGTATTAATAGTTTTAGCTCATCTCTGCTTTGAACACATTTTCTTACAACTCATGCCACTTTTTTGGAGTAACTCCCTAATTAGATTAAAATGAGTTGATTTAACATTTGGTAGCTTTTCCTATACTGTCCCTATGCAAACATTTTGGTGTCTTCCACAGGGGCAAGGAAGCTGGCTGGCCATAGGAAATGCTGCCGTCGGCTGGCTTGGGCTCGTGAGAAAATCCACCTTCAGGGAAGAGTCCCAAACATACGCCCAAGTCATCCTCACTTTCCCAGAGCTGCTTCGGGGCAGAAGGCAGATGATCTTGTGGCTCTGCAGGCCCAGGTGTGTGGTGAGTCCTGCAGGCAGCAGCCAGGCCTTGGGCAACAGCACAAGGGCAGCACCGGAGCTCAGGTGTTTATCTGTGGAACATGTGGGAAGGTCCTGAGCTGCCACAGTCGACTGGCTGCGCACCAGATGGTGCACTCTGGTGCCAGGTCCTTCTCATGCCTTGAGTGTGGCCAGACCTTCCGCTGGGTCTCGAACCTTCTGCGCCACCAGAGGAACCACACAAGTGAGAAGCCCTTCTGCTGTGAGCTGTGTGGACAGGCCTTCAGCCTGAAGGACCGTCTGGTGCAGCACCGTAAGGTCCACACAGGGCACCGGCCCTACGAGTGTGGTGCCTGTGGTAAGGCCTTTAAACAGAAATCTAACCTGTTGCGCCATCAGCTGGTGCACACGGGTGAGAGGCCTTTCCACTGTGCTGTCTGCAACAAGGACTTCCGCACTAAGGAGAACCTCCGGCACCACCAGCGAATCCACAGTGGAGAGAAGCCCTACATCTGCTCTGAGTGTGGGAAGGCCTTTAGGTGGCCCAAAGGCTTCAGCATCCATCAGAGGCTGCACCTGACGAAGAGGGTCTATGAATGTGAACACTGTGGGAAGGGCTTTCGCCACCTGGGCTTCTTTACCAGGCACCAGAGGACCCATGGGCATGGCGAAGTGTAGAGGTGCTGGGTCCAGCAGGGCTGTGCCCTTGCCAGAAGTTGGGCCATCAGGACAAGTTAGAGGAACAATCCCTCTCTAGCGTGGAAGAGGCCTTCTTGGTCCTTGAAACAACTTCTGAGGTTTCTGAATCTCCCAAGCTCTACCAGGAAAACTGCTGTCTGGGGAAGAGGATCTGGAGTGCACCTGCAGAGCCACTGTGCTGTTTCCCAAGTGCCCAGGGCCCAGGATGGCCTGAGGCTGTGTGCAGCCCTGGGCGAGTGGACAGAAAAGTTCCTGGTATTTTGCCCTCTCCGGCACCTGTGGCTCTCTGCCCAGGAACTAAACCCCACCCTGAATGTCACTCCTGTGCACTTTACCTTCCTTATCTGATTCTTTTCCCTTACCTGTGCTTTCTCCCATCTGTCTTCTGTCTGGCCTAAGCAAGGCAGCTTTGAATTGCACAGAAGCAAAGACCCTTCTGCAGTCTTCACAGGGGGGACTTTGAAATGAGCACCTTTGTAATATTGCAAGCCTTAAAGGATTATGGAAAGACCTGAACTCTTAAGTCAGGGTATTTGACAGTACACTGCATGTGTGGGAAAAACATCCTGTGTGTGCAGGACAGTTTGTTAAAGCTGCATCCTCACGGGGCTGTTCTCCAGTGTGGTTTCTCAAACTGAAACTGACTCAGGTTGTGTCTTTGGTAAAACGACATTGCATCTTCTATTTATTTGTACTTAGTAGATTGTGATTGGGGAAGGCTGTCTCCAGGGTTGGCTGGGGACCTCTGTGGGGCATCTGAACACTTCTTTTGCTTTAGGCTCAGATCTCTGCCCCAGGGCAGAGCTGTCAGAGTGCTGGTTGGAGACAGCTAGAGCCTCTGCTTCTGGGTATGTGGGTAAGGACTAGACCCCAACCCTGCATCTTTGTGGGGCCATGAGCCATCTTGATGCTGCCAGCCCAGGACTGTTCAGCTTAGCCCTGGGCACTTGTGCTTTCAGGAGCTTCAGTTAGTAGCCCCACTTTGGTCCAGGGCTACCACGTGTTACAGGCTTTACTTGACACTGGGTTGCGGGAAGTGCTGGGAGCTGGTTGGGTCTTAGAACAATGCAAGGTGGCTGTGTCCACCATAGGGCATTTTCTGGGGAAGAAGTGACCTTTTGTTTTCAACTTGGAGTGTCACTGCTGATCCAGCCAGAAGTCTACCATGCAGAACTGTTGGGCAGTGCTCCGTTCTGGAGCCCTGATTGAGACTTCAGGTACTTGCTGTATCTCAGGTTATTTGAATAGCTTTTGAAGGGTTTTGCTTTGGCGTTGTAAGGATTCTAGTTAAAAAGGGCATTTGGAATTAGAAATGAGTTTGTAGGAACAGGGTGAAGAAGTTCAGCCTGTCAAGATAAGCCCTCTCAAACCCCTTGAGAGATGCTGCCAAAGGCTTCCCCTATAAACTAGAGGCATAAAGTCAGGGTGGGACTAGAAGTGACCCTGATTTGAACAAACCAACTATAGAGGGCATTTTTCTCATTCATTCATTCATTCATTCATTCATTCATTCATTCATTCATTTTTAGTCTTTTTGAGACTGGCTGTGCAGTTCAGGCTGGCCTTGACTTGCAGCTATCTTTCTGCCTTAGTTTCCTGAGTACTGGAATCACAGGCCTGTGCCACCTCACCTGGCAAGAAGGCATTTTTGAGACAAATTGTGGAAACTTGAACAGAGTTTGAGTGTTAGGTAATTTGTGTTGACATGGCAATTATTATACAGTCCTCATGAAGAATTTCAACTCATTTAGGGGGGAAATGACATGGTGTTTTGAATTTGCCTTAAAATTGTAATAAAAAGGAGAACAGGAAATTTTGCAAGTTTTTGGAGTAGGAATTATCTTTTAATTTTTCTGTAGTTTCTCTTAAAAAGTTCATTAATACACACTGAAGAAGCTATTGGGCTGGGGATATAGCTCAGCCATGCAAGTGCCTGCTTGGCAAGCACAAGGTCCTAAGTTCAATTGCTGGTACCAAAAACAAACAAAAAATCTTATTATGTTAGGTTTCCCGGTCTACACCGGCTGCCATAAGGAAACTGCATACTGGGTGACATGAACAACAGAAATGTACTTCCTCTGCTCTGGAGACGAAGACTGAGATCAGGGTACCAGCCTCTTCCCTTCTGGGGAAGGCTTCTCCTGGCTTACAAGAGATGGCCTAGGACCAGAGGACTGGTGTCTCCTATTGAGGCCTCCCCCCATGCAACTTCAATTTTTTTTTGTTTGTTTGTTTTTAATGAGACAGGGTTTCACTGTGCAGCTCAAGCTGGCATTGAACTCATTTGGTAGCTCAGGCTGGTCTCAAAACTTGCAGCAATCCTCCTATAGAACTTGTACCTGTATGTAATTATTCTTTTTACCCCACGTGTAACTCATCTAAACCATGTCTCCTCTCAGAGACCTCCCTTCTGGTATCATGCCGTTGAGTTTAGAGCTCTATATAACCTGTAGGCAGACACAGTTCAGGCTTCCCAAAGGACTGTGGACAGCTTTTCTTCTGCTATGTGTTCTCTCCTTCCCACAGGTGTTGGGCAGATGTGGTGTTTGTGTCCTGCCCAGTGGGGAAAGTTGAGAAGGCCTCCAGGTGGTTGAGTGCAGGTAAAATGGCCTGCCACAGAATGGAGCCCCTTGTACATGTGGGCAGTGGGTGCCACTGAAGGGTGACACAACCTGAAGTGAAGGGATTTTTGTTTTGTTTTCCGCTCAGGGGTTGTAGTGGAGTTGTGAGGAGGACAATTAGAATCAGGATACAGAATTTATAATATTATTTATGATTGTCACCCAGAGTTTAACACAGGAAAGTGCAGGAAATCTGTCCACAACACTAAAGACCTAGAATTTCAGCCAAGGGCCTGGATCCCACAGCAGTGTCTTGCATGAATCCAAATGAAAACCTAGAGCCCATGACAATGCCTCCCACGAGTCCAACTAGAGGTCTAGAGCCCACAAGAAGGACTTACTCCAGTCTCTTACAGATCTGTGCTGGGAAGGCCCAAAGGTCAGCAGTGGAAGCTACAAAGTTTATGCTAGCAGGGTGAAGGAGCTGTGTTGGTAAGTTGAGGGTTCTATACTGGAGCTGAGGAGTCACATTCAAAATAAGGACCAGGACTGCCCTGAAAAGCACCATAGCCATCCTCAGTGACATGGAGGTCCTGAGCTCTCCCAACAGTAACAGTTGAGTACATGCCAGGAAGCCAGCACGACTAGTTTCTCCTAGAGATCAAACGTTACATGTCTTCCCCTCCAGAGCCAGGAAGTGATGCTCGATGTAAGGCCCAGAGCTCTTCCAAAGTGAAGCACAGCCGTTCTCACCAACAAGGTCCTGACCAGTCACACCGGGGAAGCTAGCCATGACGAGCTCCTCTAAGACAACTAACGGCTCAAAATAGGAACACAGAGAAACCCGCAATGCCTAGCGCTTTTTCTCTGTCTCTATTGGCAACTTTGCTCTGGTGGGCCATCTACACTCAGCACCATGCTGATTTAATTCAGCTGGTGTTAAGTTGACCACCAGTTTTTAATCTTAACAGGGTTGCTCTGTACTGTGTATCCCTAGGTCTTTCAGAGTCTTGCTAAGTTGCCTAGACTGACCTTGAACTTTTTCGATCCTCCTGCCTCAGCGTCGAGTAGCTAAGGTTGTATGTACCTGCCTTAATGTCTAGCTGGGCCTGAGTTTTGAGTGTCCTGGAGTCAGCTAGTCATGCCTGGGATCCCTGTGCCTGGCTCTAAATTCTTTGTGTTGTTTTCACTTCAGTTATGGGATTAAATATGAATGACACAAAATTTAGAGGAGGCCACCTGGTGCTTGGTGGCAGCTTTGCCCCAGTTGATAGGCAGCCATGTGGGACCAGTCTGCATCCTTTGCCCACTTCCTGGGTTCTGGTGCCCGTGGGAGTTTTCTTCCTGGCATTCTTCTGGAAGCAGTAAGGGCAGGTGGGTGAGGAACACAGTGGGGGACAGTGGTTGCCCTAGCTGACTTAAGGCTGCTGCCAGACCTTCCCCTTGTTTCACCCAGGTGCCCTCAGGCAACCCTGGGCAGAGCCTGGTGGCTGTGAAGCCGCGGATAGATACAGTCGTGCTAGGGTGGCCTGTGTCTCTGCTCTTTCTACTCCCGCCCTCTGCATGTGTCCTGCAGGCATCACCTTTTCAGGGCTCGTGAGCCTGGCCAGCAGCCTCCCCCTCCCCAAGCAGCCGGTTGAGCAGCCACTGCTTTGATCTGCATCTCCGTGGTGGGGGATGCACGAGAGCATTTTGTAGAGGGGTGGGTGTGGGACTGACAAGTGGCAGAGCTGAACCTGTGGCCTGGAGTCCATCCCCACATCCACAGGTAACTCACTGGTCTGGCCTAGGCAACCATATTCCACCCACGTGCCCCCAGAGATGCACCAAGTGGTAGCAGATGTGGCAGAGAACTCCAGGACAGTAAGGGACCTGTGGTACTCGCTGAGGACATTGCCCCAGAAGAGTCCAGAGTGCTGGGAAGAGAACAGTGCTGTGAAAAGACGCGACTCCTGGGGAGCAGGATGCCACATAAGTCGGTAGCTGGGAGTGTATTCTGGTTGCAGTGCACCATGAGCTGCCGAGCCATCCTGGTGCTGGTGGGATCCAATGTGTGCTGGTCTTACAGGGTCTCTGAAATACCAGGTCCACTGGGGAGATGACAGCTTCTGTGAAGGCAAGGCTGGCCCCATTATTTCACTTTGTGGTGTTTCTATATGTGGCCTCTTGGGATCTAAGTTGTGGGCCTACTAAGTGTTTTCAGAAACTTGGAATGTGTAAATTTTTGGGTTTTTGAGGCAGGGTCTCACTTTATAGTTCATACTGGCCTTGAACTCACTGTGTAGCCTAGGCTGGCCTCAAACTTATGGCAATCCTCCTGCCTCAGCTTCCCAAGTGCTAGAGTGGATTATAGGCTTACACCACAGACCTGGCTGGAATGTGTGCATTTTGAACAATAGCATTAAAATATCTGACTCCCCAGAATGAGCCTAGTGATGGAGCGATATTGGATTTAAATCAGGCAGCATCTTTTTATCCAGGCTGTCTCTTCAGGCCAGAGGACTGTGGAAGCCTGGGATCAAACCGTAATGGCAAAGGAAGGAAAATGGGAGACAGGCATCTCTGTGCTGCCCTCTGCCCCCTCATGCACTCTGGTTAGGGAAGGTGACAGCCCCCTGTGCAGTGCCGAGATGTTCCCACATCTCAACCCAGGCAAGCGTGAGCAACCTCCAGAAAGGTGAGCCACGGCAACTTCGCCAGCCTCTGACAATGTTCACTAATGTTACAGTGCCAGTACAGTATACAGAGGTGTACACCTGTAATCCCAGCTACTTGAGAGGCAGAGTCAGGAGGATCATCAGTGTGAAGCCAGCCTGCGCAATTTATTAAGACCCTATCCTAAAATTTTTCAAGGGCCAGGGATATAGTGTTCACCTGTCAGACGGGAGACCCTGAATTCAGTTCCCAATTAGGGTGGAAAAAAGCGAATGAGTTCCTTGACTGGAACTTTCAGGAGAGCTTTCTAATGGGCCTTCCTGGTTCTGTCTGCCACAAGCAGCAGCATAGGCATCCACAAAAGGTCCACTGTCAGGACTGGGGCTGTTCTCGCCACAGATTGGTTGGGAAGATAAGATGCCCACTGCACTCCATCCTTGCCTATCCCGGATGTTGCAGAGATGCTGGGTCTGGGCACCCCATGTATAGCAGGAGCATCCGACATGGCTCTCAGTGTCCACCACGGCCTCAGGGCCCCACAGCTTATTGCTGTGTGGGAAGCTGCATATGACTGAACTGCTCTATAGGAAGAGAGGAAACAATTTTTAAAAGCAATTTAAAAGACACCATTATAAAGCAATTTCAAAAGTAACAGGGTAGGCAAGATTGCAGTGTCTGGCACCAGCAGACCAGGTGGAACACAGGCCTGGCTTGATCCTTCTCGCGGTGCTGCCAAGGTGTGGTGGAGCATCTCCCAGCGCACTCGCTCTGCAGCGCTGAGAGGCAGGAGCATGTGGACTTGTTTCCTGGTCTGGTCAGCCTGGAGTGCCTGTGAGAGCAACACACGTGAGTCACCTCCCCCACCAGCCCCAGGATAAAGGGAGCCTCAAGCCAACGGCTCAGTCCAGGGCCAGGGCAGGAGCCACTGAGGAAACATTCCAGTATCTGTCACATAGGCCCTAGGGCTAGATATTATTTGTATGGTTAGAATAATAAACCATCAGGGAAGTAGCACTAGATTTCTATTTGTGCGCTAAATGTACACAGTGACATGCTTGGGCCAGGAACCACACAGAGAACAGAGTAGAAGCTTCTGTCAGTCTCACTAAGGTGTTGCAATGGGAAAGGAGGTGGCACTGGGCCCTCTGTGGTGCCTCCTTTGAGACATCATTCCTCTCAGATTCTGATGTCTGAAAAAGCTGCTTCCTCTCTCATGCACCAGGAGACAAGCTCATGGCCCCTTGGAAAGTCCCAGAACCCACACAAGGCCCTGGTCAGCCATCCGAACTCCCATCCCAAGACCCTAGGTTCTGACCTGTCTAACACAAAGACAGGGCAGGGTGGGGTGATGTCTGCATCCCCTGACTAATAAATCAGGGAATTTGTCTAGAAAAGACCTGGTACACACTGTAAGAAATGTATCCCAAACTGTAATTCCACACAAGCCTTTATTGGACCCAGCTTCACTTAACCACAGCCATGTTGAATTATAACCACCAAGACCTCCCCTGGGGAACCCTGCTTGGTTTCCAGCAGTTTCCCAGAAAACTAAATGCACAAACTCAGCAGGGGAATGTAGGGAGCTTTACAGCTGGACCCTGGCTTGGTGGGTGCTGGGAATGTGAGATTAGCCTGAGGTAAACCAGGTGCATTCAGGCTCCAAGTGACTTTTGTATTAATACATACATCTTTATTTCTGACCCAAACCATGGGATCCACTGGTCGGGCCCTGTTCAGGACCATGCTTTCATCACAGTCTCCCAGTAAATTGTGATCCTGGATCTGTCTACTTTTCTCTGGTCACACATACCTTGAGCCTGGTCCTTATCGATGTAGCTGGGCTGTTTTGAAAGAGCCTTATACTAAGTATAGTACATCTATCTAGAAAATAGCAAAGAGTAAGTGGCTCCAGGTGTGGTGGCACACTCCTGTTATCCCAGCAGTGGGAGGCTGAGGCAGGAGACTTGAGGCAAGTTCAAGACTAGCTAGGGCTACAAAATGAGCCCAAGGCCAGCCTAAATTGCATAGCAAAAACCTATCTCAAAAAGACAGAAAATAAAACTTTCCCCACTGCCCTTCATTCTGCAAGATGACTCTCAGCAGTGCCTGTGCCCATGCACAGATGGGCTGCTGCCATGAGTGGCCCTGGCTGGATTTACACCTGTTTTCTGTCTCATCTTGGGCCGTGCCCTTCATTCTGCATTCCTGTCATCTGCTTGTTTTTCTGAGCTGATCCCAGGAATCAGCTATTGATCATCAAACTGACCTGATACTGGAATGTCTTACCCTCAGGTTAAGAAAATGGCACCATGGGGCACCTGTTACCTCTGAGTGGCACCAAACCCCAGACTACCTGTGTTATGGTTCAGATTTAGATGCCTCCTCCACATGTGTTCTCTGGACGAGGTGACACGTACCTGTAATCCCAGCTCTGGGAGACTGAGACAGGAAGATTGCCACAAGTTAGTTCAAGGCTGGTCTGGACTACATAGCAAGACCCTAACACACACACACACACACACACACACACACACACACACACAAGCCTCACTCATCTATAGACAAGGCTTTGAGAGTTATTCCTCAGCTTCCAGCTTCTGGGGTTTTTTGGGGGGGTGTTTTTTTTTTCTTGGTATCCAATAATTTGAAGGCCAGTTTTCTTTTCTTTCCTTTCTTTTCAGTACTGGGGATTGAACTCACAAGCTCATGCTTGCCAGGCAGGTGCTTGCACCACTAAGCTAAATCCCCAGCCCTCCAGCTTCTGATTTTGCTGGCAATCCTTGATCTTGATGCTCCTTGGCCCAAAGATACATGGCTCTCGTCTGCTTCATCATCACATACATTTTCCCTGTGTCTGTCCATGAAGACAAGAGCCTGTGTAGACTGGGGTTCACTGTTGGGACAGTGGATGAGTTTCCAAGGAAGGAATTGCACTGCCAAGGTGAAAAACAGGACTTTATAAAGGTTTGAAGTTGAGGAAGGGGTGATTGATGACATGTCCTGGGAGTGTTTCCTTTAGATCACTATGGACTCTGGCACAAGACACCTATTATGAGAACCAGGGTGACGTAGTCCATTACTGGACCTCATGAGGGCCCAGAGAGCTCCAAATGAAAGTCACAGGTCACAGAGCCAGGCACAGTGGTGAATACCTGTAACCCCAGCACTCAGGAGGGTGAGGCAGGAGGATCATCACAAGTTTAAGGTCGTCCAGGGCTACATAGTAAACTCAGGGCCACCCTGAACTACCCTGTCTTAGCAATATGCTGTCTTAAAAAAAATAGGTGAAACAAAGGCAGGCACATTGTTGACTTTTATGTGTAGTTTGGCCTGTGCAGAGTTATGCAGCTCAGTACATGTGGGTGAGGAGAAGCCTGATGGGGCAAGAGATTGGATTCACTGTAACTGTACAGTAACTGTAGATTGCTTCACTTTCTACCTGTTCAGTCTCCATGGCCATCTTATAAGGATACCAGTCATGTTGGATTAGGACCTACTCTAACCACCTCAACTTCCTCCAAATGCAGTCACATTCTGAGGCTAGAGCTGAGTTAGGATGGTAAGTGGCAGGGCAGGGACTGACACAGGCAGGCGTCAGTAGCTCCTAGAGGAGCACAGCACAGGTAGAGAAGCAGATGGCCACCAGATGAGAGGCCACACTACACTCAGGCTCAGCAGCAGCATGCCAGGGGAGAGCCCTTTCTCACTCTGGCATTGCTTTAATTTGCACTTTCCTGATTTCTGAGGCAGCTTAGGTCTTTTCAGATGCTCATTAACATTTTATTCAAACATTTTTTAGTCCCAGGATATAGTATAGTGCCTCAGTGCCTGCAAGATCCTGACTTCAATTCTTGGTACCAAACAACAACAACAACAAAAACAAAAAACCCACATTTTTTAAAAAAAAGTGGAGCTGAGAATAATGGCATGCCTGTAATTGTAGCACTCTAGAAGCTAAGGCACGAGGATGGCTGCAAGTTTGAGGCCAGCCTGGACTATAAATAGCCTCAAAAAAACTGTGTGTGTGTGTGTGTGTTTTACTGGGGATTGAACCTAGGGCTTTCTCACTGAGCCACATCCCCAGCCCTTTTTTTTTTTTTATTTTTGAGACAGGGTCCTCCATAGTTGCTAAATTGCCCTTGGCTAGGCTCCAACTTGAGATCCACCTGCCTCAGCCTCCCACAGTGCCAGTTACAGACATGCCATCATTCCTAGCTCCAAATGTTAAAAAGGGTTTGAATCATTCTTGGCATGCTTCCAATGATGGCCTGCTGAGGTACCTCCACTATTCCCTGCCCAACTCCAGGCTTCCTCTAAGGATTGGGAGTGGGGCTGGTGAGAGATCCATTTTGTCTCCTGGAGGAGATCCAAGGCCATAGGCTCAGGAGGGGCTGCCATGGGCCTGAGGTATCCACTTGAGAGCCATTCATTCAGGAGCTCAGGGTGTACAGAGCAGCTGGCTCAAACCCATGGGTGCAGCCGGGCGTGGTGGCTCATGTCTATAATCCCAGCACTCGGGAGGCTGAGGCAGGAGGATCGTTGTAAGTTCGAGACCAGCCTGGGCTACAAAGTGAGCTCAAGGCCAGCCTGAACTGCATAGAGAGACCCTGTCTCAAAAAGACAAAACAAGGAGCTGGGGATTTAGCTCAGTGGCATAAGCGCCTGCCTTGCAAGCAGGCAGTCGTGGGTTCGATCCCTGGTATCGATAAAAAGGAAAAAGACAAAAAAAAAAAAAAAAAAGAGAAAACACCCATGAGTGACTACAACAGAGACCATCAGGCCCAGCGCCAGCCACCAGAATTTGCTCTGCCTTGGGACATCTCGCCCAGTCCTCAGACTACTTTTGGGTCAGGGCCAACAGCTTGGATGGCGCAGGGCAGGTCTCATCATTGTTGACAAATCTAAAGTCCAGGAACACTGTTATAACTGGCTTTGCTTATGGAAATATGTCAGTGAAACACAATCCATGACCCTGGGAAAAGCAGCAGAGGTTGAAAGGACATCATTGGAGCAAGTGACAAGGTCTCAATGTGAGCTACAATTTAGATGATCGCATTTTCTCCATGGTGCATTTCCTGCTTTTGATCTTCGCACGGCAACAGAGAACAGCATTTTGCCCAGGAACCTCACAAGGTGAGGGGCACGTTACCTCCAACCCCAAATAGCTCAGAATTGTGCACACACAGACACCAAGTAACAGGGGCCTATGGGATAGGCCTGCAAATGCCCAATAGGTAACTAAAAGCAGGATGAAGCTTGGCAACTCTGCCTTCATTCTTTGTATCTACTTCATTTATTTTCTTAAAACTTTAGGTCAGATACCTGTTCTGAACCCAGACTGTTGATCCTTTAAGGAGTATCTGAAATACGAAGTTTATTAGCGCTAAATTTATCTAGTCTAGCTCATTCCCCTTCAAGACCTAGGACACCAAGATAAAGATTTGCAGGGAGGCTAACTGGTTGCTTTTACAAGGTCCATCCAGTTCCAGACTCCCTGGAAAGGTGTTTAGAAAGTCTTCAGTCACTGTCCTATACCTGCTGCCACTTGGATTCCAGGAAATGCAGAACCTTGCTGACCATTCCACAATAAGGTCGTTACCCCACGAACCAACGCTGGCCCCCTATGCAGGAACCATTATCTAAAGATAGGAACCAAATTACCCCCTACCAAACAATAAAGGCTGTCCCAGATCCTTGAAGAACCAGTCCTAAGATACTGATCGATCAGATCAGGACTTGACTAGCATTCCTAGCTGTGCTGCCAGCTGTAAGCCCTTGCCCTTTTGACAGTCCTGCCCACCATCATTGGGAGCTTTGCAATTAGCTACATCCTCAGCCCTTTTTATTTTTTTACTTGGAGACAGGATCTTGCTAAATATCAGGCTGGACTCAAACCTGCAATCCTCTCCCTCAGCCTCCTAGAGTGCTGGCATCGTAGCACTCACACCTGGCCTGTTCCCTTTTTCTATAAAAGCTCAAAGCTTTTGTCAGGTCCTCAAAGACAAATCTTGAACCACTTTATCATGTCTCCCCTGGAATGGTCATGCTGCTTAAAGCTTCTGTCCTGTCCTTCACTCCATTTCCATGATTGGCATTATGGGATGGGTGGCCAAGTGTAATCTGCTGGGATACCCAGAGTTAGTCTTTTGGGGGTAAAACTGCAGTAACAAATACATGGGCCAAAGGTATGCTGCTGTGCCTCTGGATGTGCCAGGGACTCCTGGCACTATTCTGCAACTTTTTCTTTTCTTTTTTTTTTCTTTGTCTTTTTCCTTTTTTATCGGTACCAGGGATCGAACTCACGACTGCCTGCTTGCACGGCAGGCGCTTATGCCGCTGAGCTAAATCCCCAGCCCCAACTTTTTCTAGATTGGACAATTCAATATTACTCAAAATAGCCGCAAAACCTCTCCAATGCACTGAGAACCAGTGCAGGACCTCAGACCTGACCCTCAAAGTCCCACTATCCAGCTTTTGCCTAGCACTTACCAATACCCTCTGGAGCTTGCTGGACTCTATGGCTCTTACAAGATGGCCGCTGAATACCATAGAGGGAAAGAGGCATCAAGTCCCTGGCAGCTCAGGAGTCCACAGTGGGTATGAGTGCCACTCTGCCCTCTGGAAATACTGCAGCAGCAAACCAGGCAAGCAGCGGCATGGAGCCACACCTTTATTGCCATTCATGGGAACCAGGGAAGCTATCTGCTGGTCTCCCCAACACAGGCCTTCTAGGTAGGGTTCAGAATTGCCCCGGGGCAACCTCTGGTGCAGCAACAGAGTCTACACCCTCTGACTGTGGGCTAAGAGAAGCTGCACCCTGGGCCAGCCCTGAGGGAAGCTTGGGGCTGGACTTGCCACAGGGGAGCTTGTTCTGTGAAGTATCTGGAAGGGCGGAGTGTCCAGAGCCCTCAAGTGACTGCGTTAGAGACAAGGTTTTGGAGCTTGAGGAGGGGGTCAGGGATGCGACCTGGAAGCCTGAGCTCAACCCTGTCTGGGATGGGGGCGGGGACCAGGGGCCAGAGGCCTCATGCAAAACAGCTAGAGATGGGACCAAGGACTGGACCTGAGAAGTCGCGTGCGGTCGCAAAGAGGGAACCCTGGAAGCTGTCCTTGAGGAGACCACCCATGGTACCTGGGGCCGGGCTACAGATGGGGCCCTGGAGGCCACACGTGAGGGGCCTGTGGAAGAATACGACGCAGGGCGCGAGGTAGGCTGGGAAGGGGTGGGCGGCTGCCAGAGCGGCGGGCCCTCGGGTCCCCTGCGCAGCCAGCTGTGCAGGCGCGCTAGGCTTTTCGTGTCCTCGTGCTCATGCCGCAGCTGCTCACGCTGCTGAAGCAGCTGGTATCGCATGTCGCGCAGTAGCTGGGCCCGGCGGAGCAGCCACAGCAGCTCCTGCCGCAGGTATCCGTTGTCAGCCTTGATGGCCTGCGTGTGTGCGATGAGCGCACGTACAGCATCTCGCTCGGCGCGCCTTGCCAGGGTCTGCACGCTCTGGCGCGCCTCTCGTTCAAAGGCCGCCTTGTCTTGCAAGAAGCGACGCTTCTCGCGATGCAGGAGCTCAGTGTGCTCCACGCGCTGGTGTAGCAGCTCACGCTCCAGCGTCCGGATCCGCGCCAGTTGTTCCAACTGCAACTCCTGCAACCAGGCCTGGGTCAGCGCAAGGGCACGGAGAGCCCATCCCTAGTTCCGCCCCGTCTACGAGCACGCGCGCACTAGCCTTGTAGGGCTGCAGCTCCTGCACCCGTTGCACCGTCTGGGCCGCGCGTGCTTCCATGTCCAGCAGCTGCGCACGAACCCCTTCCTCGCGCCCACGGTAGATCGAAGCGAGCTCAGCTCGCTGCCCCTGTATCTGCGCCAAGTCCACGCGGTTCTGCTCGTCCAACCCCACGATGGCTTGGGCACTGCGCTGCGCGTGGGCGCTCACATAGCTGGCATAAAGTCGGTTCTCCTCGCGCAAGCGCTGCGCCTCGCGGTCCAGGAAGGCGTTTTCCCGCAGCACTTGGTCCACGCGCTCCTCATAGGCTTCCAGCTGCTCTGAGAGTAGCGCGTACTCGCGCTGAAGGTACTGCAAGCGCTCTGACTGTGGCAGCTCAGCACCTTCGCCCCGGCGCCCAGCGATCCGTTTCTTCTTGGGCGTCATGGGTTGAGGCCTGGGGTTTAAGGATTCGTGAGGTCACCGACCACTGTCCACTTCCCCAGCTCAAGCTCTCCTATTCCCCAGCCCTAAAATTCTAGGGCCAGGCCTCAGAACGGGTCGCAAAGGAGGGATGAGGGCAGTGTCGTTAACCTGTTCTCTACTGACCTCCCGATCTTGGCTGACCTTTGGGATGTGTCCAATATTAGCAGTGTCGGTGTTCAGCCCCTGCAGTCTCCATGGAGATAGAATTTAGGCCTCCTCCCCCGCTGGTTCCTGTTACTTTGGCAACGACTGGACTCCCTGATTCTCTGCAGCTCTCTCTCCTGAATCATGCATGACAGTCAGTACCATCCCCATCCCCCCACGTGCCCTTCCCCACCTAATGGCAGGAAGTCTGTGCTCTCAGGACAAAGCACTTCCCACAGCTTCCCAACTTTCAAGGCCCTCTAGCATCTGAGGCCTCCACAGATGGGACTACTGGGAGGTGTTAGGTGCTTGCCCAATGAGTCTCTCACTAGAGTGCTTAATTCCACGCATGTGGTTCATGCTATGGGTCACACCTTTTTGGCTTCCGGATCCTGGAGGGGCTTAAGGACATGCCAGGAATTTCTTCTTCCTCCTGTTCCTCCTCACTCCCTCCCCCTTCCCTTCCTATTCCCCTCCGCCTCTCCTTATTCTTTTTTTTCTGTTGGCTCTGGACGTAGGATCATTATTTGATTCAATCTTGACTTGAAAATATGGCGACCCTTTGGGGCCTGCACAGTGGCAGCTGGCCCTGCTCTTCATCTTGCTGGGAGTGTGGCAGGAGGTGCTGCTGGACAGCCTTGGATGGCAGCTCAAGTCCACGCCTGTTTTGTGCCCTATAAATGCTACAGTGGAGTCTGCCCAGGCTTGTCCTTATTTGCTCAGGTTGGGCAGATCTGAGGATTCCAGAGCCCCAGTCTGAGGAACAAAGGAGTTTAGGAAGCCACATTTGAGTAACCATTTGTGTTGAATACATTGTTGGTTTTAAAGCCTTGGCAGTGAATATCACTGAACTTGCTCTAACTGGGTACATCTGCTGGAAAGGTGTGGTAGGGCCTCTTAAGATCTGGAACAGAACACAAGTTTTTGTGACAAATGTATTTTATAAGTAATTAACACAAACTGCAAGATAACACAGAGTCTCTGTTTGGCATTAAAATTTTAGAGCAAGTGGTGGCACATGCCTGTAACCCCAGCACTCAGGAGGCTGAGGCAGGAGGATCACCACCAATTCAAGGTCACCCTAGCCTACATGGTGAGTTCAAAACCAGCCTAAAATATACCTAGTTACCCCCTCTGAAAGAAAAGACAGGGCTCAGGTGTGTAGTTCAGTGCAAAGGCCCTGGGTTCAATCCTTAGTACTAAAAAAATAGAAACATTAACTTATAAACAAAGCAGCCTGTGGAGACTGGGCTTAAAGTAGGGGCTTTTAATGTGAAAGCCATGTGTAACTTTTGTAGAAAATTGGGGAAAGACGGAGTAGAAGTTCTGCAGGAGAGATTTTTCCATCCCATCCTAGGCCCTCATGCTTTCATGTGCATACCAAGGCCCCTCTCTGGCACCCTCAGGGCTCAACAGATTGGTAAAGTAAATCATGAAAAGTAGAAACCTGCTCATTCATGCCAGTCTGGCCCTCACCTGGGCTTGGCCTCTGATCCTCAGTGCCTACTCATAGGAGTGGACCTTGTACTGGCCTCAGGTGGTTCCTTCCAGGGGAGGGGAGGATTTCTGGCCTGGAGAGGTGCCCTGTGTGTGAGGATGGCAGGTCCCATCATCTTCAGGTGACAGAACTCACATCCAAGGATACTGGATTGAAAGGCTCAGTTTCCTGTGACATTTCCCGCGCCTTCAAGGTCCTTCTTCCCTCTCTCCTTGGGTGGGGTGGTGTTCTTTTCCCTGTCCCTGCCCAGGGCCCTAATACATGCCTCTCTTGGACTCAGGCTGGGACATTCTGGGGCTGCAAAGGCCCAGGAGGAGGGCCCTACTATCTGATGGACCTTAATAGCCAGAAGACCTCTCCACAATTTTCCCCATCCTAAATATTACCAATAATGCAACTCACCATAGGCTACAAGCATCACCCCAGGAATTAAGTTAAAAAGAAAAAGGGACGGAGAAAATGAAATTAGAAGACACTTAAACAAAATGCAACTGCAGACATCCAGTTCACCAAAGGCAAATTCAGGGGACAATGAGGTAGGACAATCTGATAGCCCCCCACCAGCCCTCACTGAAGTAGAAATAGCAAAGCAATTGAATGAGGCTCTGGAAAAAATGAAATCAGAAATAATGTCTCAGATAGCTACAGAGATTACCAAAATGTACCCCATGCTTAGTGATGCTAGAGCAGACACAGACAAAAAAATATATGAGCTTAAGAAAATTATGGAAGCTCAGCGCAGGAAAGAAATGGAATCCATAAAGCAGACTCAAGCCGATATCTAGGAGAATACAAACACCACTGAAAAGTATTCAAAGCAGATTAGGCCAATATGGAGGCAGAATCTCACAGAATCTCATTAAAGACAGACTTGCAGTTAGCAATCAGGGAAAGAAAGATTTCTCAAAACTAGCAAGAGATTATGAGAAATCAATCCAGGAGCTGCCAGATGAGACAAAGAAGAGTAATTTAAGATTAATTGGAATGAATGAACAAGCAGGAGATACCACAAATTACATTTAAAAAGTGTTCACAGACATCATGACACAAAACTTTCCAGATAGAGAGAAGAATCTGACATACAGATAAATGAGACATATAGAATTCCAAATAGCAATGGTCAAAAAAAATTTGCAACCAGACATATCATAGTCAAGATTCCAGAAATTCAACACAAGAATAGAATCCCAAAAGCTGTTAGAGAAAAGAAACAAATCATTTATAAAGGAAAACACATCAGAATTATAGCTGACTTCTCAGCACAAACTCTCAAGTCAAGGAGAGCTTGGAGCGAACTACTCCCAAGTTCTAAAGGAAAACAACTTTCAACCCATATTGATAATATCCCACAAAACTATCTTTCAAAATTGATGGAGAGATAAGAAACTTCCATGACAAAGAACATCTGAGGAAATTTGTGACCACAAAACCAGCACTCCAAAATGTTCTGAAGGACATTCTAGAAAGAGATAGTAAGGATGACAGTCCCATGAACCCCAAAAGAAGGAACCCAACAGGGATAGCAGTTAGAGGAAGGGGGGCAAAAAGAAGGGGGCGAGCCAGCAACAGGAAAATAACATGACAAGGATAAGTCAACACATTTCAGCTTTAACCAATAATGTCAGTGTTCTTAATTCACAGTCAAAAGACACAGACTAGCAGAATGGATCAAAAATCAAGATCCAACAATATGATGCATACAAGAAACACATTAAATCAAAAAGAAACTCATAGACTGAAAGTCAAAGGATGGAAAACAATACTCCATGCAACAGAAATCAAGAAAAAAGCAGGAGTAGCTATTCTATTTGCAGGCAAAGTGAATTTCAAGCCAAGCCTGATTAAACGAGACAAAAAGGTCACTTGTAATGGGAATAATCCAAGAGGAGGAGATAATAATCATAAATATATATGCACCAATTATGGGAGCACCCAGCTATATAAAACAATTACTAACAGACATGAAAAATCAAATAAGCCCTAATACAATTATATTGGGAGAACTCAACAACCCACTGTCACAAAAAGACAGATCACCTAGACAAAAAATCAATAATGAAATATTAGAACTAAATCAAACTTTTGAACAAATGTACTTAGTAGATGTCTATAGAGCTGCACATGGGATATTCTCCAAATAGACCATATACTGGCTCATAGAACATGCTTAAGTAAACGCAAAGGAATTGAAAATATCCTAGTTACAGCATCAGACCACAGAGCAATGAAATTGGAAATCCATGTCAAAGGAAACCACAAGAACTTCATAAACACATGGAAAGTTAATAGTACCCTATTTAACAATCAATGGGTTACAGATAAAATTAAAGAAGAAATTAGGGGGCTGGGGATTTAGCTCAGCGGCATAAGCACCTGCCTTGCAAGCAGGCAGTCGTGAGTTCGATCCCTGGTACCGATAAAAACGAAAAAGACAAAAAAAAAAAAAAAAAAAAAAAAAAAGAAGAAATTAGACAGTTTTTACGATTGAATGATAATGACAATACAACATACCAAAACTTGTGGGACACAAGGAAAGCAGTCCTAAAAGAGAAATTTATAGAAGTAAATAGCCATATATCAGGAAAACAGAAAAAGCACATATAAACAACTTAGTTTTTTCTAAAATCCATTTTATTCAAAATAAAAAGAAAGAAAAAAACTAAAAGAAAATTTCAAAACATGTCAATCAGGGCCAACAATGGTGCATACATTGCACAAGTCATTCCTAAACCAGATCATAAGACATCTGCATTAAATTGTCTGAACCGTATCAGTACAAATCCTTCTCTTCAGCAAACTCAGAGAAATCAGTAGTATAACTATCTTAACTATTTTATATACATATACATATACACATATACACACTTACATATGTTTTTTCTTTCAGCTTCTCTAATGAAACAGTACAATGTTTACACATGTCTTATTTGTCTCATTAATGAGTGCTTCCTCAAGTTGCATCCATTTACCTATAAAATTCTCAGTTTATCTTTATGGCTGAGTAGTACTCCATTGTGTAAAAACAGCACGTCTTTTTTTATCCGTTCCTCAGTTGATGGGCATTTAGGTAGCTTCTAAGATCTGGCTATTACAAGCTGTGCTACTATGAACATGGATGCACATATTGTTGGGCGCAGGCGCTCAACATACCCCACCCGGGACTAAGGACCACGCCAGCTTCCACAATGCGCTACGTCCCTCTCCAAATTAGCCACCCCGTGCTCACTTCATATTTGCCCTGTGCTGACTCTGTGGCAACCCCTGATTGACCACAGCTGGGTATATTAGCCAGAGCCCGCATCCCATTCCAGCCTTGCCTCCTCGTGGCAGCCCTCGTGGCAACCTGATTGGCCACAGTCAGATATATAAGCCAGAACCCACAACAATAAAGTTGGCAGTTACCTGTTACCCACAAGAGCGTCCTCTGTCTCATTGGGGGGCTGCGCCGGTCACATATATCACTGTGGTGTGATGTTTTTAACTCTTTTGGGAAGATAGAAGGGGAATAGCTGGGTTGAATGGGACCTCCAATCCTAGTTCTTGAGGAATCTCCACACTGATTTTCACAGTGGTTGCACCAGTCTGCATTCCTACCAACAGTAGAGAAGGGTTCCTTTTTCCCCATAGCTCCACCAGTGTTTGTTATTGCTTGATTTCTTGATACCAGCCATTTTTTCTGGGTAAGTAGAGTCTCAGTGTTGTTTTAATTTGCATCTCTCAAATGATCAGGGGTGCTGGACATCTTTTCACATATTTATTTGCTGTTTGTATTTCAACTAAGAAATGTGTATTCATTTCAGATGCCCATTTTTGGATTGGGTCTTTAAACCTGGGAAAACTGATTTTTTTCAGTTCTTTATATGTTCTCAGTAGTGATCCTTTGTCTAAGGAACAGCTGGCAAATATTCACTCCCACGTTATGGGTTGTCTCTTCACTCTATTAGTGGTTTCTCTTGTACAAAATATTTTAAGTAGGGTGAAATCTCAGTGGTTGATTCTTTGTAGTAGTTCCTGTGCAACTGGGGTGCTGTTCATAAAGTCTTTGTCTACACCAGTGTCTTCAAGAGTTTTATCTACTCGGGGCTGGGGTTTTAGCTCAGTGGCATAAGTGCCTGCCTTGCAAGCAGGCAGTCGTGAGTTCGATCCCTGGTACCGATAAAAAGAAAAAAAGAAAAAAAAGTGTAAGTGTTTTATCTACTCTATCTTCCAGCAGATTTAATGTTTCTATTTTAATACTAAAGATTTTTAATCCATTCTGATTTTAACTTGGTATATGGTGAAAGATATGGGTCGAGTTTTAATCTTTGGCATGTGTAGAGCCAGTTTTTCCAGCCCCATTTATTAAAGAGGCTATTCAAATATGGGCATCTGAGATGAATATACACTTCCCAGATGAAGAAATATAAACAGCAAAAAATGTTCAATATCACTAGTCATTTGAAAGATGCAAATTAAAACAACACTGAGATTCTATTTCACCCAGAAAAAATGGCTGGTATCAAGAAATCAAGAAGTAATAAATGCTGGCGGGCTGTGGGGGAAAAGGAACCCTTTTCCACTGTTGGTGGGAGTGTAGGCTGGTGCAACTACTGTGGAGGTCACTCTGAAGGTTCCTCAAAAACTAGGATTGGAGGTCCCATTCAACCCAGCTATTCCACTTCTATCCTCCCAAAAGAGGTAAAAACATCACACCACAGTGATATATGTGCACCCATGTTTATAGCAGCACCGTTTATAATAGCCAGATCTTGGAAACAGCCTAAATGCCCATCAACTGAGGAATGGATAAAAAAGATGTGGCATTTTTATACAATGGAGAATTACTCATCCATAAACAATGACAAACTGGAGACTTTTATAGCTAAATGAATGCACCTTGAGAACATACTCATAAGTGAAATAAGACACATTATGTAAACATCATATTGTTTCATTAGTGTGACAACCTGAAAGAAAAAAGTATGTATATGTGTGTGTATATATATATACATAAATAAGTTAGATAAGATAGTTATGCTACTGATTTCTCTGAGTTTGCTGAAGAGAAGAATTTGCGCTGGCTTTGTTTAGATAGTTGAATGCAGATGTCCTGTGCTCTGGGTGAATGGTTTAGGGATGACAATGTGCAATGTATGCACCATTGTTGGCCCTGATTGACGTGTTCTGAAATTTTTAGTTTTTTTTTTCTTGTTCTTTTCTACTTGAAATAAAATAAACTTGAAAAAATAAACAAAAAACAAAAAAATAGTTACATTATCTGTTTTTTAATTGAAGTATTCAGATTATATGTAATATGATTATTCATATGGTTAGGTGTAAGTCTACCATTTTTCTTTGTTTCCTATTGTTCTCATCCCTTTATTGTTTCCTTTTTTTCTTTTCTTTTCTTCTTTTTTGTGATTGGATCTTGCTAGGTAGTTCAGTCTGGCTTTGAACTCACTATGTAGCTTAAGGTAGCTTAAACTCAAAGTAATCCTCCCACCTCAGCCTCCTGGGATGCTGGGATTAAGTGTGTGCCACTATACCCTTTGTTTTAAACATTTCGATATTTTTGTTTGTTTGTCTTGTACCAAGGATCAAACTCACAACCTAATGCTTGCCAGGCAGGCACTTGTGCCACTGAACTAAACCCCCAGCCCCTGATTTCTTTATGTTTGTTTATTCATGTATTTAAAAAGCATTCTTCCCAGGGGAAGGTTGACTGCTTTCAGGCAGCAGTAATTTTGGGATTCATCCATAGCATTGTGTGTATCATTAGTTTCTTCCTTTTACTGCTAATTAGTTTTCCATTCAACAGATGGACCACAGTTTGGTTATCCACTCCCTTTTCAAAGGTTGGAAGCAACACATGAGTTGTTTCCAGTTTGGTGCTATTAAGATTCTTTGTGTGGATGTATGTTTTTGTTTTGCTTGGCTAAACACCTTGGAAATAAAGAGCTGGACTATAAGACACATTTATTTTCATTATTTTAAGAAACTGCCGCATGGTTTCCCAAAGCAGTTGTAAAACTGTATACTCCTGTCAGGTCCCTTCCCACACTCACAAACACTTGGTGAAGAGTCTTCATTTTGGGGGGTTTGTTTGTTTTGAGGCAAGGTCATTATGTAGCCCTGACTAACCTCAAATTCATAGTGATTCTCCTGCCTCAGCTTCCCAAGTGGGATTATAAGTGTGCACCACTATGCCTGGCAAGGTCAGTCTTCTGAGTGGTGGCCATTCCGGAAGGCACACGGAGGGAGGAATCTCACAGCTGTCTGAGGTGTGCACTGCACAGGGCCATCAGTGTGCACCCTGCCCTGGCTTTTTCCTGCCACACTGATCTATCCTTCCTTTTCTTCCAGCACATCCCCAAAATGGTTTGTGGTGGGTATACAATGAAGTAAGGCAGAAATAGAAAAGAGTCAAGAAACAGAGCTGTAGCCCGGTATAATTTAACCACCGCAGAAACTGTAGAATTCAGAGGAACATTGAGGTTTTATTGTTATGTCTGCAGTGTTTGAATTTTTCTAGTTATTCCTTATCACTGTATTTTATATGCAACAGATTTTTTTTTTTTTTTGTGGTACTAGGGATTGAACTCAAGGCCTTTACATTGAGCTACAACCCCAGCTCAGTTTTATTTTATTTTATTTTTTTCCTTTTTTTTTTTTTTTATCTTTTTATTGGTACCGGGGATCGAACTCACGACCACCTGCTTGCAAGGCAGGTGCTTATGCTGCTGAGCTAAATCCCCAGCCCCCTATTTTATTTTTTGATACCGAGTATAAGTCACTAAATTGCCCAAGGTGGGTTCAAATTTGCCGTCTTCCAGCTTCAGTCTCACACAGTGCTGAGATTACAGATCTGCTTCACCACCTCTAGCTGCAACAGCTTTTAAACTTTCTAAAACTCTGGTCCCACTTGCCCCCGTGCTACCCCTTCAAGTGACACCCCACACCAACTTCCTCCCCACCCCTTTGATGTCATATCTTTTTAAGATTTCCATTTGGGAGTCTAATCAGCATCTTAAACTTTTAGTTTTCCTGTTTGCTTTTACAGTGTTCCGGAACCCATGACCTTGCACAAGCTAGACAAGCGCTGTGCCCCTGGGCCATACATCTTGTACCTCAGATTTAACCCAACCCCTGGGTCTTTCCCCGCTGCCTGCCCTGGTCCGTGCTGTTAGTCCCCATTACGGTACGTGGGGTCTGGGATTCTTCCCTCTCCCGCCCTCAGCTCATCTCAGGGCATCCTGCAGCCTGAATCTACCCTGCCGTGGCCCATTGGGTCCAGGTACCTGCCCAACCCGAGAGGCCCCTCGTGTCAGCCGCTCCGCGGGAGTCCAGTCCTTCGCTCTCGCCTCCTTCGCAGCAGCACCCCAGGCCTTCCCTCGCGTTTTTGCGTTTTCGTTAACCCCTCAGCGTAGCTCCCCAACCCTTCTCAGCTCTTAGGTTCCTCTCTCGCCCCAGGACCTGCCTAGTCCAGGTACGTGGCGTGACCCCTGCCCAAAAAGCTCCAGGACCGAGGAGAGCTCCCTGCAAAGGGTGCCCCTAACGCCGCGACACCCCGAGCGAGCGGAGTCTGGAGGAAGCTGAACGAGGCTGAGCACTGAGAGCAGCGCGGTCGAGGCCGCGCCGCCAGGGCGCAAGCTCCAGCCGCGGGATCCCGGGAGCCGCAAGGGGCGGGGGCGGGACCGGTTGCGCTCGGGGGGGAGGAGCCAGCCACCGACCAGCGCAGCGGTGCAGGCGCGGGGAGGGGGAGGCACCGGTTCCCACGCAACACACCAACAGGTCCTACCCCGGGTGAGCCACCGGCCTACAAACCCGCGCCTGTCTGCTGCCATGTGTACCGCCGAGGTGGACAGGCATGTAGTCCAGAGATACCTGCTCAAGCGGCAGCTCGGGAAGGGGGTAAGCGGTGTGCCTGAGCGGGGTGGGGGCAGGAGGTGACCAGAAGTCACCTGCAGGTGTCTTGGTCCCTCGAACGCCCTGGCAACTCTCCTGGATCACAACCTGCCTCCTCCAGGACTGGAGGGTTGGCCTTGCTCCCGAGCTCCTCTATGTCTCAGTGTCCCCATAGAAACTGGGTGATCCCTAGCGACTTTTTTGTTTTTGTACCAGGGATCGAACTCATGATATCGCGCTTGCAGGCAGGCACTTATGCCGCTGAGCCAAATCTCTGGCCCCTAGAGAGCTGGCTCTTAAGAGAGCCAGGGCCCCACAGTCTCAGGAGGAGCCACCGTCCTGGTGTCCCATGCCACCTCTCCAGGTGCCCACAGTACGCTTGAGAGCTGGGGCGAGGGGTGCAGGTGATGCAGGCGGATCTGAGCATGGCCTAGGAAGGTCAGGCAGGTATGTGGGGTCAAGGCAGAACTGTGTGTGACCTCGTGTGGGTTTGTGATTTGAGTGTGAGCGTGTATGTGAAGGTATGTGGTTGACTGCATGGATGTGTTCAGTGTCAACCAAGGGGAGAGGAGAAGAAGATTTTAGACAGTTCAAATAGCAAGTGCAGAGGCCCTGAGTTAAACAAGCCCTGCTGACTGTAGGACACACCACACAGCTGTGTGTGACCAGAGAGGAGTATCGAGGGGGAGGAGATGGGGAGGGGTTTCTGAGGAACTTTAGGGATTCTAGCCTTTATTGTCAGTGACATAGAAGCTGTAGTGGTGCCACTTTCTTTCTTTCTTTCTTTCTTTCTTTCTTTCTTTCTTTTTTTCTTTTTTTGTCTTTTTGTTTTTTATCGGTACCGGGGATTGAACACACTTGCAAGGCAGGAGCTTATGCCGCTGAGCTAAATCCCCAGCCCACTTTCCCCAGTGCCACTTTCTAAGGCTCACTCTGTTCTATGGAGGAGCCACCTTGGGGTGGGTGGAGTGACAGGGGAGAATAGTAAGGAGAGTAGGGTGGTGATCCAGCAAGAGATGCCAGTGGACCAGACAACAGTGGAGGTAGCAGAGATGGTAGGAAGTGGTCAGATTTAGGATTAATCCCATAGAATCTGCTAAGCAAGCTGAATGGGTGTGAGAACGAGGCTGAGAATGCTGAAGGACTGAAAGGCCATCCTGGGGACTGAATAGGCTGCAGGTCTTTCGCCAAAGTCCCCACCTGTGACCTCATGTCCTCCCAGGGGCTTCGCTGGTGACCATAGTTCCTTGCTGCCCACTGTCCCCTCTGCGGCTCCAGAGTGCTAGGCCTCACCACACTTCTGACCCCCTAACCTGCAGCAATGGAGGAGCTTTTCTATGAAACAGCCTGGGTGGGGAGGGGATGGCTGGGCAGGACACTAGCCTTTTTTTGCAGGCCTATGGTATTGTGTGGAGGGCAGTGGATCGGAGGACTGGTGAGGTTGTGGCCATCAAGAAAATCTTTGATGCCTTTAGGAATAAGACAGATGCTCAGGTAAGTGAGTAGGGAAGACGTATGGGGAAGGTTGGATGCCTGGGAGTTCAGGTATGACTTAGAGGCCCAATCCCAGCAGGTCTCCTAGTCTTTCTGGCTGAGTGGGTATTTGGGTGACAAGTGTCAACCGCCTTTGGTTATTTCTGTGTCTTCCAGAGAACATTCCGGGAAATCATGCTGCTCCAGGTGAGTGGCCCAGGCCACCTTGGCTACTTCCTTTCTTCCTTTCTCCAGACCAGTGGGAAGCTGGGCTCCTGGATCCGTATAGCAAATCCCTGGCCTTCCAGCAGTAATCTGTTCTCCCCAGGAATTTGGAGACCATCCCAACATCATCCGCCTCCTCGATGTGATTTGGGCAGAGAACAATACAGACATATACCTGGTATTTGAGTGCATGGGTAAGTGAGGCTGCAGTTCCTGCCCCACCTTTGTCCCGATTGCAGGCCCCGCCTTATAGCCTGGCTCCCTGGATGTATCCCCTGCTGCTTGTGTGCCTGTGGTGGCTTGTGCCCTATTCATGAAACCTTGTGTCCTCGTATTCATGATACCATCCAGCTGGCAAGTGTTGGCCTGGCAAGCTTGGTAGGGAACCGCCTAGACCAGTGATGGTGAACCTTGGAGAGCTTTCAGTGATACAAACCGCCTGCTGCAGCATGCATGCCGTGGGCTAGCCACCACTGACTAGACCTGCAAGGCACTTCTGCTGTCTTTGTATGCAACTAGATTTTCCTTTTCTAGTCTTAGGGAGTCCCCATGATAGACTTTGAGGATATTGGGTTCCAAATGGGATGGATCTACCCATCTCCCACCCCTACACTGACCTGTATGCCCCCACTCCCAGACACTGACCTGAACACCATCATCCAGAAGGAAAACCTGTTAGAAGATATCCACAAGCGCTACATCTTCTACCAGCTCCTACGGGCTACCAAGTTCATCCATTCGGGGAATGTCATCCATCGGGACCAGAAGGTTGGGTCCTATGTTTCATCTGCCTCCAGCTCCCAATCCCTCAAGTCAGTGTGCATCCCCAGTCTGCTAGCCCTCAGCGCACCTCCTCTCACCAGCCATCCAATGTTCTCCTGGATGCCAACTGCTTGGTGAAGCTCTGTGACTTTGGTCTGGCCCGCTCCATCAGCAACTTCCCAGAGGGGCCCAAGAACCAGGCCCTGACAGAGTACGTGGCCACACGCTGGTACCGGGCTCCAGAAGTGCTCCTGTCTTCACGCTGGTAATAGCCCCAACCACCCCTGTCTTCTCCCTGCAGGTCTCCCCACCTTGGACATACACTTCTGTCCAGTTGAGGGCCTTCTGGGTCTCCCATGTCTACCTGCATCCTCACCTCCCCCTCCCAGCACCCACACCTCAGCCTCTGAGCTCTCACCGTGCTCACACCCCTTTACAACCCAGCTATACCCCTGGAGTAGACGTATGGAGTCTCGGCTGCATCTTGGGAGAGATGCTGCGAGGGCAGCCCCTGTTCCCAGGCTCATCTACGCTGCACCAGCTGCAACTGATCCTGGAGACCATCCCGCCTCCGTCTGCAGAGGGTACGCACTTGGGGATGCCGAGAGTCACAGAAGGCAGCTGGGGGAGGGGAAGCAGGAGCCCGAGGAGGCCTGGGCAGAGTGGGTTCTGTGGGTGGAGGGCCAGGGCCCAACCAAGGGCTTTGAGAGAGGCAGCACTGGCCAAGGGGACCATGACAGCCAAGCTGTGATACAAAGGAGCCAGCTAGGTCAGGACAGAGCCCCCGCACTGCTGAGGGATGTGGGAAGCAGGGGTGAGGAATGTTGCTATGCTAGAAGCTGGAGCGCACAGAGCAGGGGATTGAGCACTGAGGGAAGAGGCAGGGGTGGAGAAGGCAAGGGGTGACACTTGCAGAACTTAGTGGCATCCTATTCTTGCCCCAAGTCTCTGCTTTATCTGGTAGAGATGGCAAAGGGTTGATCCAGGAGGCCAGTGTGTGCAAGTTGAGGGTATAGAGGTGCAGGAGCAGAAACAACTATAGATGCTCACAGACTCACAGGGGGCTCATGCTGCAATCAATGGTGCCAGAAGAGCAGTTTTGGTTTTTGTTTTGATACTGGAACGAAAATTGAACTTAGAGCCTTGTGCTTGCCAGGCAGGCACTGTGTCACTGAGCCATATACCTGGCCCCTGATGGTGCCAGAAGAAATGGCTGACACAGACCTCTCTGAATGGGCCCATGCCCCAGGAGGCCTGGTCACACCTCCTTCTTTCATCCTCCCTTCAGACCTCCTGGCTCTTGGCTCAGGGTACAGCGACTTGATTCTGCACTGCCTAGGATCCAGGTGAGTAGGGCACTTAGGTTTGGGGGCCTGTCACCTGAGCATACTGGTCATGCTACAAATTAGGAGCCTTGGAATAGCTCTTCGAGTTGGACAGGGGCCATGGGGAAGTCCCCAAAGCCTGAGGTGGGGGCCAGAAAGGCAGGTGGAACTTGCCAAGGTTGAGGAGGTTGGTCAGAAAGTTGAGACGGATCTATCCACACTGCCTGCATGTCTGTCTTGGGAGATCCACTAAGACAGAAAAGGGATAAACAGAGGATTGGAAGCCCAGCCTGGACCACAAACAAATTTGGGGAGGGGGCCTGGGTAAAGGGCCTGGAGAGGAGATGACGGGAGGATGCTGCAGGCCACGACAGAGACTGGATGCCCTCCTGCCACCAGACACTCCTCCAGAGGCTCTGGATCTCCTCAGGCGACTCCTGGTGTTTGCCCCAGACAAGAGGCTTAGTGCAGCCCAGGCGCTCAAGCACCCCTATGTGCAGAGGTGAGGCTGCAGTGAGGGTGGGCTCGAAGCGCTCTGTGGGCTGGGAGGCTAAGGGGATCACGCTTCCATATTACACCTGCATCCGGCCCTGCAGGTTCCACTGCCCTGACCAAGAGTGGACACGGGGTACGGACCCGAAGCTCGTGGTGCATGAAGGAGACCAGCTCTCTGCCTCGGAGTACCGCAGCCGCCTCTATAAGGTGCTCAACCCTTGACCTTTCCCCTCATGACTTCCTCACATACCCTAGAGGTTTCTACCCACCCTCTCCACCTCAACCCCCCTTTTACCTGCAGATGATCTTGGAGTGGAGAGACAACAGCCGTGGCCCAAGAAAGGAAGGCATTGCCCTGGGGACAGAGCCTCGGGCCTCCTGCACACAGGGGCACCTTCTCAAGCCCCGAGTCAATCCCCAGCTTCCTACTGGAACACCTACCCGAAACTCTGGACCCAGGCCACAGAATAGCCTGGGTCAAGATCCAGGGCATGGTGTGTGAGCTTTGGTTGTCCCTATTGCAGTCACATCCCTGCCACTTCTTTGTAGGGCCACCAACCTTTCCAGATGGGACCTAACCCAGGGTTGTTACAGGTGTGCCTGTCCCAGATGCTCCCAGGGCAGCCAGGAACATCCCAAGGCAGGGCTTAGCCTCCTCGCTCCAACCTCAGGCCCTAGGCAGGAGGGACAGGACTTCTGGGGTGGCCAAGGAGCCTCCCTTGGAACCCTCTGGGGTGAGTCGGTGAGGGGAGCAGGAATTGGAGGGAGACCCCTTCACCCTGCTGTGCCTTTCAGTGACGCTGTGATATGGCCCTTCCCAGGTGAAGCCAAGTGTGAAAGGCATAGAGCCCTCTCTGACTATGCAGGCTGCTGCCCAGATGGCCCACCAGGCCCTGATTCGAGGCCACCCAGCCCGGGTTGTGTTCTGGGTAAGCCAGGCCCCCACTGCCCATCCGTGCCCCTCAGCACCCTCCCCTCCACTCACCCACCCTGACAATGATCCTCACTCATGCACAGGTCCCTCCCAGAGCTCCCAGAGAAGCCCCAGAGCCCCGACCTGGTCGGAGGATGTTCAGCACCTCAGCCTCATGGGGGGCCCAGGGCGTTGCCAGAGCTGTGCTCGGCGGCTACTCCCAGGCCTATGGGACTGTGTGCCACTCAGCACTGGACCGCCTGCCTCTCTTCCCTGGACCCCATGGGTGAGCTGTTTGCCCACCTCACACTTCCTGTTTTGATTTCCTTGGGCAAAGCACACAAGGTTCCCATCCTAGCCCTAGTGACTTCTCTATTAAAGTCTGTTCCAGCACAACCAGCTGCTTTTAGCTATTCCCTTTCGATGGGTACCTGTCTGCAGCGCTTCCCTCCTGGGACATAGCATCCCCTAGCCTGAGGGCCCTTATCCCTTTTCCAGAGCCCATGTCTTCTGAGAACTGCCATCTCCATCCTGCAGTGTCTACTCCGTGTCTAGGACAACAACACAGTGCAAAGCTGCATGGGTCTGGTCTGCTCTCACCCATGGCTCTTTCCCACATAGGGCTGGCCTGCTGGTGCTTTAGACCAGCTTCCTGTCCTTTGTCCACAAGTACCCAAGTGCTTGCTTTGTTTCTAAGCACTATCAGATCCCAACCTGGGGCAACTGCAGGGTACAGGGCCCAGGCTGCTCCAGATAGTTCTGGGGCACAGGCCCTTGAGGACAGATACATTACCTGCCCAGGTACAAGTCACTATGTGACTGTGAGCCAGAGAGGAAAAGGGAAGTGAGGAGGGCAGCACCCCCGGCAACCCTTACTTCTCCCTACTTGCTCCCCATTCCCCTCATTGTCACTGTGCCCAACAACAGTGACTGGCTCCTGCTTGGTCCCAGTCTTGATAGTAGTAGGGTGAAGGACACCCTGGAGATGTCTTATGAGGCTGAAGGCTACTTTTTCTGATTATCACCAGGCATGGGCCTAGGGTGAGTTCAGGCTAGGAGTGTGGGGGCAAAGAGATCTAAGGGGCCCAAGGGTACCATGGATGCTTTGCATGTATATGTGACCCTTAGCTGGGGCAGAATGCAGGGGTGCCACTTCTGCACAGCCTGACTCCTGTTCACCTTGGGAGATGACAGGAAGGATGAGGTGTGGAGAGAGGCTGGGAGGTTGAATGTAAAGGTGCTGGCTCTGGGCTCCGAGAGGGCCAGAAAGCAGGAGGATAGGACCCCAGTTCTAATATAGGTCACTGAGGCAGCTGGATAGTTCACTCTTGAGGGAGGTGCTGAGGAGCCAGTCTGTGTTTCAGGAGCCAGAAACACAGCCCCAAGATGGTGAGCAAGGAGGACAGACAAGAGTGTGGGAGTTAATGTGCACATGGGTGGCCTTTGAGGCCAGGGAATTCACACCGGGGCAGGAAGGACTCAGGCTGGACAGGAGCTGCAAGATGAGGCTAGGAGGTCTGCTGGGCTTGGTGGTCATGAGACCCTGGGTGAATGCCCTCAGAGCACTAACACAGAGGGGCTCAGAACTAAAATAGGGAGGGCCTAGAAATAGAAAGTCTGTATAGAGTTAGATGAATCATGAGGGACATGGAGACAGGAAAGGTCTTGAGTGCACCTCGCCCTGCTAATCCCCCTCCCCCAAGATTGATGGCAGTGTCCAAAGAGACATTAGGAGCCAAAGGTTCAAGACTGCGATATAGAGCTGGGGATTTAGCTCAGTGGCATAAGCCCTTATCTGGCAAGTGTGAAGTCATGAGTTCAATCCCAAGTACCAAAAAAACTGCAATATGTAATTGGGTGTATGTATCCATGCATGCATTATAATATTTTGTGCAGTGTTTATTGTCAGTGTCAGAATATGCAACATCATTTCTGGGTGTTTTATTCAGCAAGACGTGAACAGTGCAGGCAGGAGGCACAGGGGCCCAGAGCAAGGCTATTAGCCTGCAGCCTCTACATGGGACGTTTATCTTTGAGGGTTTTCCCTTAGCAGTGCCTGGAACCTGTATGCTCTGACACCATATAACACACTAATACAAGCTTATTAGCAAGCACCAGGCCAAGAAATGCTCCAGCTCATCCATCTCCTAGGGGACATTCCCCACCACCCAAAGTCCCTATGCCATGCCTACCTGGGAGGTGACTCAAACCCAGATAGCTGTCAGGGCATCAAAGTATGGCCACTAAGCACTACCAGCCCCCTTCTCAACTGCTGCCTCCTTTGTTCCCTGGTCTCCCTTCTCAAATCCTTTCCCTTTTGGGGTTTATATACTAATGACGATGTAATAATACCTATTTGAGCTTGGTGTGTGCACAACTGTAATCCCAGCTACTTGGGAGACTGAGACAGGAGGTTCAGATAGTTCCAGGTCCACCTCTTTCTGGGACAATGCACGTGTTGGGGATACTTAATGAGGCTGAGGACAAGGATTCTGTCTAGACGTTTTATTGCGTTACAAAGCCCAGTGCTCCCCTCCTGTGCCTTACAAGGTGTCAACCCAGGCTGTGCTATAGGAGGGGGCATACTTGGCTGAGGCAGCTGCTGTTGGGTGGAAGGGCAGGTCTTCTGGGGTCCCCTGTGTCCCTGCTTTAAATAAGTCTGCCCTATCCAGTTTCCCTGTCATTCTAAGGGGAACATCCTTGGAGTCTGATCCCTGCCCTCTCTCAGAAGTGCCTGGCCTGCCTTCCCCATGGCAAGACAGGTGCTAGGAGGCCTCACGGAGATGGGGTCCAAGCAGGAAAGCAAGCAAGTCCCAGAAATGAAGGTGAGAGAAGAAACTAGAAGAGTGGGAAGGAAGGGGAGGGGGAGGGAGATGCGGCTGTCAGCAGATAGCAGCCACTGGATGGATCCAGGAGGCTTTCAGGAGACAGGTACCCTGAGAATGGAAACCCTGAGGAGACAAAAGGCATGGGGTGAGATCACAGAACTGAGCCACAAGGGATAGAGACCCCTGAAAGACAGGGGACTAAGGCACACACAGAAGGGATCCCTGAGGTGAACAAAGGCCCCAAGAGGGTTTTGGGCCAAGGAGAGGTGGAGGGAACCCTGAGAGTGGAGGGTCCCCAAGAAAGAAGAGAGCTGCAGGAGCCAGGGGTTGAGCCCCTGGGGAGAAAAGGCCAAGGCTGAAGCACACAGACTGCTTTGGCACAGTGGCCTGGCGACTATCACTCAGACACAGGGATGAGGAGCTCCCTGCCTGTTGGGTGCTCCAGGAACAGGCTGGCAGTGTGCAGTATAGTGCTCTGGTCTGGAGAGCCAGGAAGCTCACTTCTTGCCTTTGAATGTGCTTAGGATCTTGGGCATGAACTTCCCCACCTTGCTGTCCCTGGCGTCTTCCTCCACCAAACTGTCCCCTGCCCCTGGGCTGCCAGCCTCATCCTTTTTGCAGAAGACCTCAAAGCGACTGTAGACACGCTTCTCCTTGCGCATGCTCTCCATGCGGCGAAGCAGTCGGTCACGCTCTTCTGCACTGGCAGGCAGCGTGCGGCTCAGCCGGCCTTGCGGCCCCTGGTTGTCTGAGCGGAAGATGGCTGAGCACTTGTCCTTGTCAGACATGTCTGGGGCCAGGCCTCCAGCAGCAGGAGGGTGGCCCAGCTCAGGGCTACTATGGGTTGGGTCCAGGACTGGGACTGGGCCTGGGACAGGAACCCCACGGTGTTTCTGGCCGTGGGCACTAATCTGCTCCAGAATGGCCTTAGTGTCATCCCGAAGGTTGCTACTGTACAGGGCATTGGCTGTGGCTGAGGCTATACGTGCCCTAGGGTTACGCTCATCTCCTGCAGCCTCCGTGCTGTCACTTCGACCCAAAGATGGTCGCCGAGGACTCTCAGGCTGCCCATTCTCCTGCAGTACTGGGAAGCTGCCCTCGCCCTCCCCGCGCCGCTCACTCTTCGGGCTCAGCAGCTGCCTCAGGCGCAGGGAGCCCTTGCGCAGCACCTCCATAGGGCCAACTGCCACCTCCTCTGTAGGCGTGGCCTTTGGAGACTCCACGGGCAGGGCCAGCGTAAGACTGCCCCTGCGCTCAGGTACAGGTGGCCCCGGGCTGCTCCTGCGTTCTGGCACAGGAGGCACAGGGCTTCCCTTATGCTCTGGGTAGGATGATGTGGGGTTCCCCTTCTGCTCAACAAATCCTGTAGTTGGGCTGCCTCTTCGATTGGGGAATCCAGGTGTAGGGCTCCCCTTCCGCTCTGGGTAGGCCAAAGTGGGGCTCCCTTTTGGCTCAGAATGAGGCACCTGGTGGGCTCCAGGCCCGTCAGGTGGAGGGCTGTCCCGCCCTTGTGGCGAGGTGGAACTGCCCTGTGCAGAAAGAAAGCGAGAGGGAAGGCGGTCGGCGCCACTCCGACCCAGAGTGTCGAGCAGTTGTGCGGCTGTGAGTGAGGCAGCTCCAGGCTGCCGTTCCGCCTCCTGGTGCAGCTGCTGAGCGAAGGAGTCACGCAGGTCAAGCAGGCAGCTCTCCAGGCTGCGGCGCTCACACCCTCCTGCGCCTGGCGCCGTTACCTCTTCCTGCAAGGTCTGGGACACCATGGCTTTGCTGTGGCTGGAGACGGTGACAGCGCCCCCAGTGTCGCGCGCTGGCCCCTTGTACTTCTCCAGTAGTTCGGCCACTTTGGCTGAGGCGGTGGAGCGTACCGCCTCTCCACCGGGCCCCAGTGTCTCACTGATAGTCTGCTCCTTGTGCAGCAGCTGCACCTTCTCGGTGGTGCCCCCCGCAGCTCCGCCCACGCCCTCCGCCTGTGCCTGAGATGCAAAAATGAGCGATGATCGGAGTCTTGAGCTGCGCTGGATGATGGGGTTCAGGCGCGAGCGGAAGGAGTCCTGCTTGGCCAAGCCAGCCTCCTCCACACCCTCGCGCTCTGCACCACCTCCGCTTCCTGGGCCTGGCACAGGACCCTTGGCCGGGAAGGCAGTAGGGGCACGGAAGGCTGAGGGCAGCAAGTCTCCGGCAGGTGCTCGGCCCGTGGGAGCCAGCACGTCGTCCTCATAGACCTCGGCTTCCATGGGCAAGGACAGCCCCTCCTCACCTGTGTCTTCACCGTGGCAGCCACTCAGGTATGAGGCGAGGCGCCAGTGCCGAAGTCCTGCACGCCCCTCTGTCCCACCCTTACGTTCAGGCTCTGTCTCCATGGCAGGGTCGGGGCCCTGCCTCACCACTGCCTGACAGGGGAATCGCTGGCCCAGGTTTGGGTGCAGAGCACCACCAGGTTCCAGACCCCGCTGGCCCGGCCCAAAGACGGGGTCTGAGCCTTGGCGCACCTCTCGGGATGCGCTGGACGGCACATATTCCAGCCGCTGGTGCCCATCAGGGCCAAGCTCTGGGAACCGGAGTCCAGCACCCAGTGTGAAGTCGTCATGGTCAGGGAAGCCCGGGCGGCCAGCACGGATCTTCTCGAACAGGCCTTGTGGGCGCGTAGGATTGAGCTGCGGATCCCACTGGTAGTGCTGCTGGTAGAGCTGGTCGCGGTGGAAGTGACTGGTCTGGAATCGAAAGTCATCACCGTGGCTGAGGAATGTCTGGCGGGACACCTGGCGCGCAGCCGCGAAGTTCTCCACAGCCCCTGTACCATCCACTGCTGCGTAGCTGTGTCGTTTGACGGCATCCATCTCCAGGTGCCTTGCCTGAAAGAAGCCCCGAGTGCCCGAGAGCTCTCCACTGGGGCCGATCTCTGGGTCCAACCTCCGAGATAAGGGCCGCAGCCCTGTGTGCTGCTCCAGGATGCCCCCAGGTCCCCGTGGCATCTCCTCCCGGCGGAAGGCAGAGAGGAAGTGGCGGTCAGGGTCTAGGAAAGAGGGGAACCCCAGGCCTTCTTCCCGGGGTGGTGGGAACAGCAGGTGTGCCCGCTTAGGAAACGAAAAGGGAGTCGGTGCCCCAACACCAGGGACACCCACTAGGGGCCCGGCACCTGAGTAAGGAGCCAGGGCATAGGCATCCATTCGGGCCAGAGCTCCTGCTGAGGGCACCAATGGCTCAGACTGTGCAAAGAGGATGCGGAACTCCTCATCGAAACTGGAGACCAGTTCTCCCTGGAACACGTGTGCCAGGCTGCGGTGGATCTTCTCGAAGGACCACATGAAGCTGTGGGTGGGTAGGGGTCAGAGTCAAGGCAAGGTGGGGGGGGGTGGAGCCCACAGCCCAGGTCTGTAAGGACCTGGCCCCATGGATTGTGTTGGGGGCTACCGGGAAAGGAGTTCTGGAGGGATGATCTCAAGGGGAGGGGCTGGGGCAGTGGGACACCCAGCTGAGCACACCTGTAGCTCCCACTCATCACCACAGCACAGTCGACTAGCAGGAACTTCTCCTTCACATGGCCTTTGAAAGATTTCCCGGTGCGGCAGTAGTATGTGGGGCCGGCCACAGTTCGGACACGCAGGAACTGGGGTGGGAAGGGGAGTCAGGTCTTTGCTCAGGCCCTTTCCCCTCCTCCCACCTGGGGTTCACTCACATCCACGTGGTGCAGGTTGACACGGCACTTGTCAGCCATGTCCATGAAGTGCTGTGCGTTCATCTCATCCAGCAAGATGTAGACTGGGACACGGCGTGCAGCAGCCTCTAGCACTTCACCGAGCAGGTCCACATCAGTAAACATATCCATCACCACAGCCACCACCTGTGGGGATTTTAGGGGAGAGGGCAGATTCTGGCTGTCCCCATTGCAGTCTCCACCCTTAGCCTCACAGACCTGGCAAACACTGTCTAACACTGTCACTAACCCACCCCAGGGAAAAGCAGCCACGTCTAGAGAGGTGGGTCAGGAGGATGTGGCCTGACAGGGAGCATGTGGGGCTGCTGGCCAGTCAAGTCAGTGACCTTCAAATGCCTGTAATCCTGGCACTCGGGAGACTGAGGCAGGAGGATCCCTGGGAGTTCAAGGCTAGCCTGAACATAACAAGACCCTGTCTCAAAAATGAAACAAGGTCAGGCATGGAAGCACATGCCTATAATCACAGTACTCAGGAAGCTGAGGCAGGAGGATTACTGCAAGTTTGAGGTCAGTCTGGGCTACAAAGTGAGTTCAAGGCCAGCCTGAACAACATAGCAAAGTCCTGTCTCAGAAAGACAAAACAAAACAAAACAAAAAACCAAAACTAAAATCAATTCCAGAACAACGTCAAAAAAACAAAATAAAACAACCGAGTTGGTGGGCTCTATATGAACTGCACACAGACACACGATCTACACCCTATTAGAGGGCTGTCTCACCTAGTGGGATAAGTTAAGGTGACCTTGCCCTGCAGGTGACTGAGCTGCCTGGACCCAGGCTCATTTTGTCCTGAGAAGGGGTGCCTGCCTGGGTTGGGGCAGAGGAAGGGTCTTTAGCACCTGCAGCTGCAGTTTCCTTGGTTTACCAGGCTGCCTTTCCAGTTTGTCACCTACTGGAGGATGGGGCAGGACTAGAAAGAATTCTCTTAACAACAAAGGCAGGCTACGAGAGCCCAATATCCCATGGCCCCTGAGTTTCTGGGCACCAGTCATGACCATGGGTAAGGAAACCCAGGCAGAGCCCGCAGTCTGCACTAACGAAGCCCTTGGTGCTAGACTTCTCCCAGGTAGCCTGTGTTGTAACTTGAGCCTTCAGGGTTCTGCTTGAAGCCTGGAGAGGTCTGGCCAGGGCTGCTCCATCCCCCCATTCCTTCTACCAGGGATAGCCCTTCCCCTCTGCCCACCAGGCCTAGAACAGTGCACCTGCTGGGCAGAGCGGATCATCCTTCGAGCCTCATCCTTGATGCTGGGACTGTCAGGCGGCGGTGGCTGCACCAGTGTGGTGACCTCAGTTCCCTGGAAGCCGAAGGTCAGGGGCCAGCCCAGGTCAAGCTCAGGCACAGCCTGGTCTGAGTTCTCTGGCCAGTAGGTGCCGGAGGAGCCATCCATGTCCACATCAGGAGGGCTGCCTTCGGGGAGCTCACGGGCAACATGCTGTGGGGGCGTTAGATGTCGGCACACGTGTTCTAGTTCCTCAGGGGACAGGAAGTCAGGAGCCCCCTCAGAAGCCAGGAAACGGTTGTAGGCCTCTCGGCCACCCTCCATCAGGGCATCCACTGCCAGGCGGTAGTATTCTTTATAGTGTGGTGGCAGGTATCCAGGTGCCAGAGGATTGTCCCCTTGTGAGGAACTCTGGGAACGGCGAGCCATGTTGTGGGCGGGGGTCTGTAGAAGGTAGCAGGGAGACATTAACTAGGGACAGGACATCAGGGCCTATCCCCTCCCCTCACACATGGATTCCTATTGTGGAAGGGGTGCCAGAGACTCTGGGCTGGACTTCAGCCCAGGCCTGGGGGCCATCTGCAGTACGTGATAGGTCATGGGGATCCTAGCCATGTTTCCCTTCCTCTGGCCTCACTGTCTGGGGACCCCACTGTCACCAGGTGGGGTGCTAAAATCCCCCGCTTCCAGATGGGGCCTCTAATTCTCCTCCACCCCTCATTCAGGGTTACTTTATGATACTCATGGTCCCAGACATGTTTTTGCTCTTTTGCTATAAAAAGATTTAAAATATTTTGACTGTTCGTTCACAGACAAACATAATCCTGGGTGGACTCATTATTATATTGGTTAAGACATTAGTCTTTTTGTCCCTGACATGCCAACTGCATGTTGGTGCCGGCCCCACTGCCTGGGACTCAGGGCAGGTCATTATGCCCCCGCTAGTGTGTTCCTGTGGTGCACGGCACAGCTGGGAAGACTGGCAAGATACCACACCTGATCCAAGGTGAGAGCACAACAGCAAGTTTTTGGCACAGCCTCACCTACTGCCCCGGTGCACTTCCTCCCCACGCTCAGGACTTAGCTCTCCACGTTATAACCCCTCACCTCCCAGCCTTCTGAGCTCCAGATGCTGTGCCAGCCCACTTGTGTTCCTCCACCTCTCTTTTGGCACTGGTCTTAGATAAAGCTTCTCTGGGCCACAGCCCCTTGGTGCCAGCCCTTCCCTAAAGGACCTGGCTCCCAATACTTATCCAGAGTCCTGTTCCTGCCAGGACTAAAGGGCTAAAGCCTAGCCCTTTAGCAGGAGGAACCTTTCCAAGTCCCTAGTTACTGCCTTCCCCCCACTGCACTCAGGATTAAGTTAAAACTTTTGAAGAGAGTGGGCCATTAGCCTCCCCAACATCACATTTGTGCCCTTCACAGGTAGGCCTGCATGGAGGCTAGCTGCTTATGAAGCCATCAAATTGACCACTGAGTATGGGGAACTTCTGGTCCTGGCCTGTGTCCAGGGACTGTTCCTTCCATTCCCTCTATCTCAGGTTTGGGAAAGGGCAAGATTCTGGTCCTGCCTAACTCACTGATTCCCACATGTTGGCCCTGGCTGGGGAACTGGTTCCGCCCAGAGGGAGGAGTGTGCCCTAGGTGATGCTGACAAGATTGGGTGCTGGCAACCTGGACTGAACTGAGGTTGGAAGGAGACACTTGAATGTTGGGGCTCAGGATCCTTCTGGGTACAGCCCAGGAAGCTGTGCCACCTGGTGCCCCTGGGATGACACACTCACTGAAAATAGAATGTGACAAGAAGTGGAAAAGTGGAGGATTCTCCCCTGTAACCACTTCCTCATCAGCCTTTGATGCTACCTGTTTGCTGGTTCTTGGAAAAGCTGCCCTGACTTCTTTTGTAGGGCATTGACCTGACTACAGAGATGCTCTCCTTTGCACCGGACATGTGAGTTAGGGGCGCTACCCTGGCAGTAGTAGGAGCAGGAGCCCACCTGGAGTGAACTCTGGCCTATCGACCTGGATAGGCCATTGCCACACAGTCAGCCAGTGGCCAAAGTTAGGTCTGGTGTTTAGGGGCAGCATCTGGCCAGACAGGCCTGGAATACTATCCTGCTATTTGAGAGAGCACCTCCAGCATGGCGAAGATACTGGAAGGGACACTGCTGGCCCTGAAGTTTCACTGGAGAGGGTAGTCCATACTGTGTAGGCTGTGTGTAACAGAGGATGGAAGATTATCCAGTGTGTGGCTCTTCATGAAGACCCTTTCCACAGACACTACTGGTCAGGAGGGGGTCCTAGTCCTGAGGGGCCACCATGAGCAACCTGGCCTCCCAGTAGTATCTACCACCTCTAATGACCTTATCCCTTGCCTTCTTCCTTTTAAGGGCACACACTCCCTGGACTATGGATAGTGCAGTGGCCACTCCCCAGTCAGCAATGAAGAACCCCAACAGCCTACTTTCCTGCATTTGCCTACCTGACTCAGCCAGAGGGAAGCAGGGGCCTTTCGCCCCCAAGACTAATGAGTCAGCAGGAGTCCTTTACCACTGACCTCTGACCTAAAGCCAGATAGTCTACATGGCCTGCACCTCCATTTCAAGAACCTGATCCCCACCCAGGCAGGAAGGGGGGGTTCCTGTGTCCAAAAAGGGAGACCCTGTGAGAAGGTTTTGGGATTTCTACACAAAGCAGAGTGACCCTGGCCAAGTACCAGGGCAAGATTAGAAATAATGAAGTTGGCACTTGGTGGGATGGGGCTCACAGATCAGAAGTCAATGAGTTACAGCTTGAGGGGTGCGGCAGGCCCCACCGTTAGGGCACCTTAGGAAGTCAGCAGCTGCCAGGACAGGCGCCCCATTTGCCCACCCCAGTCCAGGAACAGGAATCAAGAGACCAGGGCCTCTCACCCTCCACAAAGGATCCAGGTGTAGGCCTGGCCACCCCAGTCCAGAGGCCTAGGAAGGGTGGTCCTAGGGAAGGGTCCGGGCCATGATGAGCACCCTCCCCGGGCTCTAGATAGGCCGCAAGGGCGGGAGCCAGGACTGGGCAGGCTCTACTGGAGCCCCAGGCCATTTCCCTGGGCTTTTTTTCCGACCGATGTCGCAAACAGGTCGAGGTCCCCCCTCACTTCCCTCCCTGCCCGCACCCCGCAAACCTGGCCCAGTACACGCGGCCATATACACTACACCGCCCCGCTCCGGGTCGTGAAACCCAGCTCTCGTGAGGCCGCTCAAGGGCCCTAGTCCTCCCCTCTGGCGCCCGCGCCCAGCCCCGCCTGGGCCCGGGAGGGGGCCCTACCTGGCCAGGTGCGCGGGGTCTCGGCACAAGGGCAGCAGGAGCCGACCGCCGCCCAGCGGCCTCGCGGTCCGGTCGGTCCGGCAGCCACTCCCCGGCGCGGCCCGCCCGCCCGGCCTGATTCACGTTCCCGCCCCCGCCCCTGCCCCGCCTGCTCCTGTCTCCTGCCTGCCCGGGCAGCACCTGGGCGGGGCACCCCGCCCGCGCCGCGCCCGCATTCCTGCACCCGCCAGGCCGCAGGACCCCGGCCCGCACCCGGGTGCTCCCGACCCCCGGTCGCGCCCTGCTTCATCGGCCCCCTGAACCCGCGCCCCGAACCCTGGCCCGCACGGCCCGAGACCACCAGGGCCCTATTTCAAGGGCTCCCAGTCGCCTAACCCCCATCCGTGAACCTAAGGCTAGAAGCCCCTAAGCCTGACCCTTGACCCTCGCCCCGGAAGTCAAGGTGACTAGGAAGTTCCGGCTGCATCCCTAGGCAACCGGCTGGCCCGACGTAGGGGCGGGGCTTCTCGCCTGGGCGAGTTGGCACTGCAGGTGAGGCAGGCAGGTGAGGCTGCCAGGGCGGTGCCAAACCGCGGTGGGGCTTGGCCTGGGGACGAAGCACATACACGGCACCCCCTCAAACACGCCTCACATCCCAGCCTTGTTCCAGCAGTTACCCCAATCAAATCCACTCCAAGTACTTGGGACTGCATAGGCCCACGGGGAGCTCCCCACAGACCTTCCTATACCTGCATACCCAAACATGCAGATGACCCTACACACAAGGCAACTTGGGGGTAATTTACCCCCCTGCGCCCTAACCCCATAACCTCCCTATTCACAGACTCCTACAAGCACACCAAGTCCCACACATGCCACTGCTCAGCATCAGCACCCACCATGCCTGTCCACACAAAGAGGACCCACACATAAAGAGGCGACTTCATGCTCATTGACCCCCATATGTGTGAACATGAACACAAGCACAGGGTACTTTCCTCATGTTGGGACCCCACATGAATACCTAAAGCACACCTGGACCCTGCACACACCAACCCCCACACAGAGAGATTCACTCACACATCAACCCCCACACCTACCATCCCTAGTTTGTAAATACAAGCCCTCGTTGCCCCTGCGTGCCCAGTTTGCCTAATTTCCCCTCAGGCCTCCACTGGCAACTTCTCATTAGGATCTGCTTTGTGCCCAGCCATCTCACCAACTCACCTCCTCTTGCCTGTCACTCTCACACCAAGCACTCACTCCCGGACACCCTACCTTGAGTCCCTTCTGTCAGCTCGCCTTCAGTCACTTCTGTCACCTTGTCCCTCTCCACCACTTTTTGTTCTAGTTCCAGGATCACTCCCAGTTTCATTAAATTGGGCCCCACTCAGCAACACCCTACAGATGTGGGGTCAGACCAGCTCTGAGGCAATTAACATAGTATGGGGTTCCCGTGCAGTGGGGGAGGTGGGGAGTGTCTGGAGCAATCGGGAAGACCCTTAACCTATGTGTGGGTCCTCCCAGGGGAAATGAACTTTTGGGTGAGCCTGGTGGACTAGAGAAAAGGGTGTTGCTTCGAGGATCTGACCACAGCACCTGTCAAGGCCAGGATAAGAGGGTCTGTGGGAGGAGGGGTCAGGCTCTAGAGTATTGTGAGAGACACAGACTGCACAGCATGGTTCTGCTCAGACATGGTTCTGCTCAGAACCTGGATGTCCAGCTGGTAGCCTGGAAGATGGATGCTGAACATTAGACTTTGGGGCCCTAAAGGACAAACTAAACATGTGGTGGTAGGACATGGTCTTGTCATGCATTCCTATTAAAGTTGCTGGGGGCAGATGAGTGGACCAGGCAGCTGGCTAGCAAGTGCCTGGGGGACTCTTACTGTCTACCCAGCTCGCAGGTGTGTAGTGCTGTTCTCTATTGCCCCTGCCCTCTTCCAGGAGAATGAACACCAAGATGGGGGGAACCAGAGCTGCATCAGGGAAGAGGCAGGTGTCCCTCTCTGGGTCCAAACCAAAAGCTGCTACTGGTGAGTGTACCCCAACCTCCAGAACACCACCACCTAAACATTGACCTGGGAGACTCTCTGCAGCTACCTGGGACTCACCATCTGAGAATGGCCACCCCTGTCCTCCACCAAGAGTGGTTTCCAGGGGATTTCTGTTGACTTGGATGTAACAGACTGATGGTCCAGGGCTCAGATACCTGCTGCATCCCCTGGCCTGAGCCTTGTGGTTTGGGGGCAGATTAAGAAACATGGAGCTATGGAGACTTTAGAGCCCTGGAGTGAGAAGAGAGCAAGAGCTAGTGGAAGGAGCTATGCTGGCCAAAAGTGATTTTGAAAGAGCAGGACTTGATTCCAAGTTAGGAAATCTCAGGTAGACTGTATGTGGTCCACTGTGATTCTGCTCCATTTCTCTGCCTGCTGTATCTCTCTCAGGCCACCTTCCTATAGCTGCTTCCAGGTCGGATGGTGACAGTGCACCTAGACTGAGTCCTGCTGAAGGTCAGTCAGGAAGGGGACCTCCTCTATGTCTATCCACTTTCAGCAGCTGTCACTCCTGTCCTGTAAGTCCCATTGGTTTTCTGTCATAGCTGCAAACACTTTCCAGGTTGGATCTCTGTGGCCTTTTGCATCCATTGTATCCCATCATGGCCTGCCTGGGATCTTTTCTTGCTAAGAGGACACCCCGCCCAGTAGAAATACCCTTGCAGCTTGGGGTGCGCCTGGCCCAAGGCCCTGGAACCCAGAATTCCTAGGTTCCCAGAAGCTAGTGGGGTAGTGGTGACTCTTCAACATCAAGCCAGGGTTAGATCCTGGTTGCCCAAAATAGCCCCAGCAGCGTCTGAGGCTGTCACTCCAGGAAGTAGGATAATGAGCACAGCTCCGCGTGCTGCCTCCATGATCTCAAGCCTGGTCCTGCACTACCGTAAACAGGGGGCAGGGCAGTGAACAAGAAGCTGGCCAGGAACTGGGGGGTGGGGTTTTCCCTCAGTTCCACTGGTGCCATTGTATACATCCAGACCCTCCCCCATGCCTCAGTCTGCACATTGACTGCCTGCTCTCTGGCCCCAGGATGCCTGGGTCCTCTGTAGAGATACATCTATCACCAAATAAAAGTCCTCCCTCAGTAACTTCTGTCCACCAAGCCTTGAATAGCTTGGGTAGACCTGCTGTCCACTTTGCCAACGGGCTGTCCCGAGCCCCTCCCATCCCTCCCAGGCCTTACCTGGCCTTGGGTCTGCAGTGCCTCGAGACCTTCGCTCCGGAGCTGCTCCAGGGCCATAGCCAGCTGCAGCCCCTCCATGTGTACCCAGGCCTGCTCCTCCTGTAGCTGCTGCAGCCACAGTTGCTCCTCCTGTAGCTGCTGTAACCACATTTGCTCCTCCTGCCATAGCTGCATCTGCAGTTGGACCTGCCGCCTTCGGTCCTCCAGCAGCAGCTGCTCTTGGGCCAGGCACAGCTGGACTTCATGGAGCCTCAGTAGTTCAGGGCCCAGGGTCAGTGCTGGCCCTGTGACTCCACAGTCCTCCATGTGCTGGGGGAGGGCCAGCACCAGCTCAGACCCTGAAGCAGCGGCCTGCACTGGCTGCTCTGGTCTGGCTGTCCTGGGGTGTCCCTGGGGAGCCAGCTGGGTGCTGATCACGTGCCCTATCTGGGCCACCCCTACCTGGTCCCTCGGGCCCCCTGTGGCAGGGGGTGGAGGGCTGGCCTCAGGGCAGGGTTGCCCCACTTCCTGCTGGGCCCGGCCCGCCCTCCTGCCTCGAGGTTTGCGAGCTCTACGTTTCCCAGACATGGCCCTGGCCCCGGCACCTCTTTCACCAGATGTCTGTTCGCCCAGGCCTGGATCATCAACTGGCACCTCAGTCGGTTGGTTCAGATGGCATCCAAGAGGCCACAGTGGGCCACCCCCTCCCCACTACTATTGCCCTCTGCTCCTTCGTCCCAGGAGCCTGCCCTGCCCCTCAGCTGCACGGCAGCACTTCGGCTCTGGCTCTGCCTGTGGGCCTTTCAGGCTCCACTCAGCTGGGCCAGATTTCGATGGGAAGTTTATAGGGACTCAGCAGCGTGGCAGCTCAGCCAGGCCCAAAAGGCTGACTAACCTGCTGACACAGGGCGCAGGACTTTACAGGCCATAGGCCTTGCTGGCCAGACTGGGAGGGAGACAGGGAAACTGGAGGCGGCTCTCAGTCGCTAGACTGTGGTGTAGGCCAACGTGCCTGGTCCTGCCTGGGCAGCACTGAGGGGCCCTCCCTCCCCAGTCCCATCCCTGTTCGCGGGAAATTCAAACTGCCTACCTGGCCAGAAGCTGCATCCTGGCTACCCTGACCCTCAGGACCCAGATGCAAGATGGTCACGAAGATCCCAGCCCACCCTAAGCAATTTCTCAGGCCTATACCCAGACACCCTGGGTCCCTGAGCTTGCCCTTCCTAGAAGGGCCACTCAGTGGTCTCTGACCTGTTGTGGGCTATTGAAGGCTTTGGGCCTTTGAAGGCCCAGACAGCATGTTAAGGACTGAGATGGGCAGAAAGAATGCAGCCTGTTCCTGAATGTGGGGTGAGGCCCTGGCTGATATTCTGATTGGGACCCAGCAACTTTCCCATTGAAACAAAACCTAAGAAGCCCTCATCTGGCCTTCCTTCAAGTTCTCCAGGTGGGGGTGAGGGTCCAGGACCAGCTTCAACATTGGGTTTCCCAGCTTCCTGTTGGGAGGGTGAGGCTCTAACAGGCCTCCTCCCTAGCATATTCCCAGCCCCAGGCCGCTGACTCACATCCAAGCCCAGGGCCCCTCACTGGCTGGACTGGTTTGCCTGGCCCAGCCCGACCCAGTGCACACCTCCTTGGCCAGAAGCCTTTCGAGCAGATGGAGAGCACTTGCCCTGGGAATGCTATCCTGGCTAGAGCTGGGAGGGCCAGGAGGACCGAGGACCATTGGTTTGGGTGGGGGTCAAAGTCGACAGGACAAGGCAAGAGGAGCCAGTATAATCCTAGCTGGGGCTGCAACATGCCTACCCTTGGTCTCACAAGGTCTGAGCTCTGAGTCCCAAGTACAGGGGCAGTTCTACCTGCCTGTCCTCAGGGTCATCAGGGGCAGGATGGTATTTGTTGGAGGACGCTGCCTGCCTGCTCATTAAAGTTGTTTCGTGCTTGCCCCGTGAGAAGGCTGTGTATAGGAGCCCCCCCTTGCTGTACCACAAATGCTGTCCTATAAATTCCTCCTGGGGGGCAGTTCACACCATAACTGCCCTGACTGCATCCTTCCTCAGTGAAGTCCGATGGGAAAGGCTCGCTGCAGAGGAAGACTGGCCAGCAGGCAAGGGGCCCTGTGAACCCTGAGTGTCCAGAAGCTCCTGCAGGTGAGCACCGAGTGTCTTCATGGTAACAGGGCTGGCCCTAACCCCAGATACGCATGATGAGCGTGACTGGGTGCCTATCTATGCAATTGTGTGGATGCACAGGCTTGTAAGCTTGTACACGGAGGATGCACATGCAGCCAGAGCCAGCCTGGCACTCCTGAGTCGTGAGGCCCTTCCGGGCGCTGGTGGAGCTGCGGTGGAGCTGTGGGCTCTTACCCCTCTCACTTTCTCACGTTGCTGCGCCACCTGTCGGAGACACCCTGTCCTTTCGTGACCTTAGGGTAGGAGGGGCGGCCTCCTCCAGCTCTGTGGGCAGCCAGGGAAGAGTGCAGACCTTACTGTGGGTACGGGGAGTCTCTGAGCTCCAGGACACGTCCTGGACTGGCCTTCCCACCTCCTGCCAGCTGTGTACTCTATTTCCTCCCAGGCACATCTTCAGCTCAGACCTCCCTTTGTATCCCAATTTCACATTCAGTAGCCACCAAGCCCCAGCCTGGGTGTCTGAACCAGCAGATCTGAACCAAATTCCAGGACAGCTCCCTGAGCTCTCTGGCTCAACCAGCTCAAGGGGTTCTACTCCCTCTCCCTCCCTTGGGTTCTGGGTCTCACCTCTCACCTTTCAGATCCAGCTGTTCTTACTTGGCACAGTCTCTCAGCTGGCCTCCTTACTGAAGTTCCTGCAGCAGCCAGAGGCTGCAAGCTTCTCGGACGGAGTGGGCACTGCCTTTCCCTGTCCAGTACCACTGTCACCTATCCCCTCCTCCCAGGCCCGCGGTTAAGGAGGCCAATCTTTGTCTGGAGGACAGGGTTGGCCACAGAAGGGTCTGTGAAGTACTGATGGTTGTTTTACAATAATTGAACATGCTTTGTGGACTGAGCTGGATTATGGGGAATGCACAGTGAAGGAGATCCTGTGACATTTAACAGACAGAATGTGTGGGGAAGCCGTGTTGGTACCAGAGATTGGCTTGGAGAGGGCGCAGGGAGTACATTCCAAGCTGGTCCCAGGATGGTGTGCTCAGGCTAGATCGCACTACCGTGTCTCACTCTAAATCCTGCCTAATCCTTACCTTGACCCTGTGAAACATCCAGTGGTGGGACCTGCTATTGGGGGTCAGACGTCCCCATCGTGCTCCATTTTGGGAAGTAGACCTCCCCAGCCTTCATAAAAGCCAGGTGCCCGTCAAGATCTGCAGGAGAAAGCCACTGTTGGCCCTGGCCCTGCTGGCCACCTCTTGTGGCTGCAAGATGAGTCCCAGTTTAGGAGCAAAGTTGCTAGGGTGCTGGACAGCAGGTGAAACTGGCAGGAAGGGACCTATAAGCCTGGAGGATGTCCATTTCAGACAGAGTGCAGTGGCCTTTTGACATAGAAAGTGCCAAGTGGAACTGCTGTCCAGATACAGGTTCGGGGCTGGGTATGGGGAGCTCTCAGTCCTGTGGGCTACTTGCTGACTGAGCTTTCTTTGCAGAAGGGTCACCCAGAGTCCATCACACAAACTGTTGTCAACCTCTGGGCTGTCCAGAAGGCCATAGGGAGCTTGCTTTTTCCGCCTCCCTGTTGCTGCCTGCAAACCTGCTCTTTCTGGCTTTCTGACTATCTGATGAGCCACTAGCCAGGGCTGATGACTTGATAAATGTTGGTTCAACAGGGACAGTGTCTGGTTTAGGTGGGCCTCAAAAGGAGGATACTGGCCAACACCCAAAAGACAGCTGTGATATCCACTGTTTGTCATGTAACCCTCTCTGGGTATCCCTCCTCCACAAGGCCATCCTACACTTTTCCCCAGGCCCCAAGTCACTCTTTGCTCTTCACATGTGTCCACTCAAGCCAAACTTCATGCCAACAACAGTGTCCACCCAGGCTACCCTTCACTGCTGTCACTTGGGAACTTCTGGCACAGGGGCTATAACCGGTGATAGTCAAGTTGAAGTTGGTGTCAACGTATTGATTGGCTAAGGCCAAGCCGAGTCCATTTCCTCCACCATGCAGTCCCCTGGAGGTGTCAATGTCAGAGCAGAAGGTGGCCACACATTGGGCCTATACTTTACTCCAGCCCTTATTTGTCCCCTCATGCCCTTTCCATTCTCTTTTGTCCCATACCCTGCTGATGTTAGGAGTCCCTGGAGCCACAAGCCAGCTTGTAAGGGGACCTGCAGCCTGCCAGAAGCTGTCTTTTTCTGCATGGACCACATGCCTTGCTCTGAAACTTCCAAGCCCATTCAAGCCCATGGGCACCCTTCTTCCCTTTAGCCCCACAGACCTCAGCCAACACCTCAGAAGTCCTGGAAAGCTACCAGGCCTCTCAGTGAGTGGCCAGAGCAATATGCCAGATGGGGGATGGGAAGGGGGTGGCATGCATCTGTCACGTTACCTTTCTGCTGGAGAGAGGCTCCAGGTGCAGTGATTTATCTCTCACCATAGAACACTGGGGTGGCTTCAGCCCCATGGAGCCCTACAATCTTCTCCCTGGCCCACCAGGTGTGTGGGTGATGAAAGTTCCTGGCCTGTCTTCTCATGGTACTGTAATAGTTGCCACAAACTTAGGACAGTACACATGTGCTAGGGATCAGTCCTGTGACTTAGAAGCCCAACATGGACCTCACAAGGAAGGTGGTGGCACTCTTGTACTCCTTCCTGAAGGGCCAGTCTATTTTCCTTCCCTTTTTAGCTTCTAGATCCACACCCCTGGCTTGAGCCCCTTCTGTGATCTTCAGTCAGCAACTGTACCTTTTTGAATTCCTCCCTCTGCCTCTCCTATTCTGCCTCCCTCTCCTGCTTTTCCACCTTATGATGACAGTGGATCTACCTCGATAATGTAGGATCACCTCCCTATCTTAAGGGCTGCTGATTAGCAACATTAATTCATTTGCAGCCTTTAGCCCCACCAGCCACAAACCCTAACATGTTTAGAAGCTGCAGAGAACAGGACATGGACATCTTTGGGGGACACTGTTCTGTCTGCCTGGTTTTTATGACCTATATCACAACACAGAGAGAAAGCTTCGCGTCACGTAGGAGAGTGAAGGTACACAGCTGTCTTTGTCCCATGAAGGTGAGCTGCATTTGCTTCTTCCCAGAGATGAGGAATAGAGCAAACTATTTGCTGCCTCCAACTTCCAGGGGCTTTCAGTTGGCTCCAGTGAGGAGGCTGCTGTTGCCAGGGGCGTGCTTGCTGATTCCTTACCTGTCCTACTGCTGTCATCCGTTGTCTTCCACCATTGATAATTTGTGTTTGCAAAGGCCAGACAGATGAATTTATGGAGATGTAATGGAGCCCACTCCTGCTTCCCTTGCCTTTGATGTTGACCGGAATCTCTGGAGTTCCTCCAGGAAAACACTATTCCTACCTGGATCACCCTCTTGGTGGAGGGAAGCAATTTCAACGCTGTCCCCGACTCTTCCACGATGATCCTTACTTCCCTGGCCAGAGCACCCATGTGGGTATCCTATGCGGAGCTAAGTCTGTGTATCCTGATATACGGGACAGACCCAAAGCCCTGCAGACCCACTGGAGATGACTGCCTGCTGGCCTCCACTGCATACACAGGACCATGCCACTTGCCACTTGACTGAATCCACTTATTAGTCCTAACAGGTTTGGGGGCATATATTTAAGGTTTTCCATTAACCATATCATCTGCAAATAGAGGCAGCTTTACTTCTTCCTTTCCAATTTGGATACCTTTTATTTCTTTATCTGCTCTGGCAGAGACCTCCAGATCTGTGTTATGTAGAAGAGATGAAAGCAGGCATTCTTTCCTTAACCTTAACGGAAACATTTTCAGCCTTTTATGATGTTCACAGTGGGGTTTTCACAAATGCCTTTTATTGGATTGAATTTCTTTCTGTTGCATATTTCTGTCATGAAAAGTTGAAGCATTTTGTTATATTTTTTGTCGGAGATCTTTCTGTATCAGTTGAGATGTTCATGTGGGTCCCCCCTCATTCTGTTAATATAGTTACTATAACATATCACCCTGGTTATTTTCATATAGTGAGCCATCCTTGGACTCCAGAAATAAACCCTGTTTGGCCATGGTGTATAATCCTGTCAGTATGCTGCCAAACTCAGTTTGCTAGTATTTTGCTGAGGATTTCTGAATCTCTATTGGTCTGTACTTTCCTTATGGTGTCTTTGTCTGGCTTCAGCTAATGCTGGGCTCATAGAATGAATTAGCAAGGGACTGGGGATTTAGCTTAGTAGCATAAGCACCTGCCTTGCAAGCAGGTGGTCGTGAGTTTGATCCCAGGTACCGATAAAAAGTTAAAGTTAAAAAAAAAAAAAGAATGAATTAGCAAATGTTCCTTACTCATCAACTTACTAGAAAGGTTGAGAAGGATTGGTATTGCTTCTTTAAATGACACATAGGATTCTCCAGGGAAGAGTGCATATCTAGGATTTATTTGTCGGGAGATTTACTGCTGAAGTCATCTTACTAGTTACAGGTCTACTCAGATTTTTTATTTCTTGGTGATTTAGTATCATTAGAATGTGTTTCTAAGAATTTTTTCGTGTCTTTTAGGTTATAAAATTTGTTAGTGCTCAACTGTTCATAGTACTGTGTATTAGAGTCTATTTCTGTGGAATCAGTAGTACTATCCCCACTTTTATTTCTGTCGTTAATAATTTGTATCTTCTCTTTGTCCATCTCATTAAAGACTTTTCAGTTCTTTGAACATAATCCAATTTTGGCAAAGCTATGAAACCTTCAATTCTGACATGGTACAATCGCATATCGCCTTCCACTCACCCCTGTGGGGAATTCGGATACACAGTTTACTATAGTTTCCACGCCTGTATTCCGAGAGCCGGATCATTCTGGATGTTGAGTTACACTTCTCCACTGGAGTTATTACTCAAACACACAAATTGTCAATTCTTTTTTTTCCAAATTGTCAATTCTGATGATCTTTCCAAAGTATGGTCTTTTTTTTTTTTTTTTTTTTTTTTTGTCTTTTTCGTTTTTATCGGTACCAGGGATCGAACTCACGACTGCCT